GGTTCATTTTGAGCCTTTTCCCATGCTTGTTGCCAACGCTGAAGTTGAAAAAAAATTAAAATTTTTAATTTAAAAAAATTTTGCCAATGGCGTATCTCTCTATTTTTATTCTTTCTTTCTTAATTTTCCGCAATTTCAAGCCTACAAATTCAATTTCCTTTTCCAAAAATAATAGGATTTTTTATCTCCAAACTTTGTTGCCACACCCTTTTCAAGATCTCTCGTTCCCACAAAACTTTCAGCGATTCCAGAAGACAAACAAAAACTGCTAAAACGGAGCGAAGAAGATTGCCCGGGATATACAATTCAGAACGCCTCAAGTCCTTCTTTTCGAATCATGATTCCCAAAAAAAAGTGCAAACAATTCGTCAGGAAAAAGGAATTCTTTTATGCGGAATATGGGGTTGAAGATTTGCGAGGAAGTAAAGAAATGGGACGGGATTTTTACAATTTTTGGGAATTTGAATGAAACTTTTTTCGGGGAAAATTGAGGTAGTTTTGCGAGCTATGAATAATATAAAAAATGGTCGAAAAAAGGTTTAGGCAAAATTTGAATTTAGAAACATATGATAACAAGGCTTTTGACGCCGTAATTTTAGATTTTTTGGCCTTTTAAATGCCTTTGAACATAATGCCAGACATGGCGGGAAGTTTAAAATTTTTGAATTCCGATGACGTCAGAGGTTTGAAAAAGATTTTCCAGAGATGCAAGAGGATTTTGAGGTATATGACGTCATTTTTAAATGATTTCCAGGTATTATTGCAGAATGCCAAAAATGGAAAAGTATGTAAAAGTTCAAAATTTTTAAAATTTTAAAATTTTTCTTCAATCCACCGATGTAAAAACGAGTTTTAAACGGTCTAAGGGCATTTTAAAACATATGACATAGTTTTTTTTCGGTTTCTAAAGATTCGCAGTTCTTATAACGGAATGCCAAAAATAGCGGGAAATTCAAAATTTTTTAAAAATTAGAGGCGAAACATCTCTAAAATTGGTCGTATGACCGCAAGGACAAGTCCATTTCTATGCCATGTATTGTGCTCTTACAGTAACCCACTTTTGTTTTGACCTCACGATCCCTATTATCCTACTACAACATAATTTTATTATTCATCCATTTCGAATTTGATTATTCCATTGTTTTTGACCAGAATATGATTCTCTTCACCCTCTTTTGTCATAAAATGCCCTGGGGCATTTTCTCGAGGTCTTTTGGAACTCAGAAATCCAAGTTTTTCAAAAGAATTCGTTTTTTGGAACGTCCGAAAAACCGGAAAAATATTTTGAGGAAAGTTTTTTCAGTCAATAGAAAATTTGAATGCCAATTTAAGTGGGGTTCTCTGAAGGGGAACGGGAATTTGCGTGGGTTAATTTTCTTTGCTTTCTTGGCCCTTTTTGTAATAAAAAAATTTTTGCAAAATTTCGATTTTTTTTTTAAAAATCTCAAAATTTTTTGTCGCCATAAGTTCTAAATTGTTTTACGACCCAATTTTTTATCCATTAAAAAATTCGGAACGGAATTGTGGGCTTGATATATAATACCGAGGCCTTATTTGCACAAGGGCCGACAAATTGTAAGCAGTGGTAGAACAATTGGCCGGAAACTGATATGTTTACTCAAAAGGTCTTGGGATCGGACAAAGAATTTTTGTGTGTATCAAAATTTTCGGGTTTTTTTAGATAAAGCTAAAATCTGTTTAGGATTTTTTGATTTTTTCGTTTTTCAAAAAATAAAATTTTTTGCGTTATTTTTAATTTCTTTTTTTTATGTTTATCCAAATAATGTTCTCGAAATTTTGTATTACAAGGAAAGTACTTCTATGGGGTGTGGAGTTACAGGTCGAGATATATATCAAAAAATTCGCAAAAATTTTCTGATTCAGAATATATAAAAATTAGCTGCCCAATTTTGGTCTATCAACGAGTTTTATCAATAAATGTATTTCTCGAGGAAAAAAATCTGCGGCAACAAAAGCGCGCTCGGTCTCTTCCTTCGGAAGAGAGCGGTGTGGCCGAGTGGTTAGAGCGCTAGATTGGGAATCCGAAGGGAACGGGTTCGATTCGTTTTGCCACACTAGAACCCATTTTTTACATTGGAATACTTCTAAGGTGTAGTTGTAATCTAATTTGATATTTTAAGGCTTGTCAAGGCCTCAGAATTTATTTTAGCACAAAACAAAAATTTTTTATTGGTAAAAACACGGTCAAAAGGACACTTGCATGGTGTCGCGAGAAAACTTCTGAGGACAAAAACATGTCATCAGACCAAAATTAGGCAGCTAATTTACAGGGTGACCCAAAAAAACGATCATCAAGACTTTTCGTAATAAAAAGTTTGTTTTTCGGTACAAGCACAAATTTATGAATTCAAACGATAAACAACAAACCTGGTGATCAAGTACTAAGCTAGTTTCAAAGCAGCAGCACATGGCGGCGATATAGAGCGCCAAACGCAACTTAAAATTTTGGGCTCGGGGCCGCAGCTTTTTTCGGGGAAATCGTTCCCGTTCTCAGCGCAGCGACCACTCAGTGACTCCAAACTTTTGTGACGTGTAGTACAGGTACTGCCCTCCAATTGAAAAAAAATTATAGTTCATCGGTCTCAGATCCGGCGAGCAGGCGCACTTTTCGCAGACTGGGTCAAATCGGAAAAATCGGTCCCATTACTGGTCTTGAATCGCTTTTGCCTTGTGAGCCAGCGCTGAGTCTAGTTGAAACGCCAAATTTGCATCACCAAGGTTCTTCTAAGTCGACGGAAGCACGACGAGATGGAGATTAACGCAGAGCTAGAATTTTGCCCCCTTGATCCACTAAAAGCATGGATTTCTTGCCGCTGGCACAAATTCCGCCACAGAGGGTAACGGTCCGCATTTTTTCGGGTTTTGACGTTAGCTGATGTGCTCGGGGCCTCATTGGACCAGATCCTGTCGTTCTGGTGGTCGTGCATCCGCTAAACATTAAACCACGAAAGGAATGCTCTCACACCTCTGAGCTGCGGCCCGACCCTTAAGTTTCAGGCATCTCTGGCGCTCTACGCGCTTGTTGCCGCCCTTGAGGGTTGACCTTTTTGCAGCTTGTACAGTACGGGGTTGAGCTTTTCTTTGGCTATTCGGTTGACGAATTGATCGCTGATACCGTTCTTGCGGGCGATTTTTCTCGAAATTCGCGGATTTTGTTGTTAATGATGCCGCGTCTCGCAGAAGTGTTTGCGGTGCGTTTTCGTTCAATTCCTGGACGCTGACTACTGTTGCCAAGCTACTTGTAACTTGGGATTGTTTTCGTCACAGCGTCCTTTCCACATCTAGCAAATTAACAAGTTTCCTTTTGTCGAAACGGTCCCAAAATCGCAGTCCCTTTCTTTTGACATTTAAAAAAACATGTTAATCAATCGATATGGACATGAAAGGGGAAGTATTAGGACAGAAAAAAGCGGAGAATTTAATAGTGCAATAATTATTTCCCTGCATCTAAAAATTTTCGCGTTAGGACACAAACAAATTTGATGATCGTTTTTTTGGGTCACCCTGTATATATATAAGAGCGAAGGAATAAGAATTTTTTCTCGAGCTCGAGAATGGTTGCTGGATTCGCTACCAATTTCAAAAAGTAGCGAAATGATCGATTTGCGACGTGGTCTCGGTAGCGAATCCTTCTTTTCGCGACCTCCGAAAAAAGTCGGTCGCGAATCGGCGTTTTCGCTACCTCCGCGAGAGAGGAGGTAGCAAAACGGCGTTTTTGCGACGGCGCGGAATTGGGAGGTAGCAAATCCGCGGATTTGCGACGTCCCAAATACATATAAACTCCGCCCCCTGAGTTTTGCAGCCAACCACCGCGTTTTGGCCTTTTTTGACAAAAAAATACCATTTATGGTGAAAAATTTTGCTTGTAAATCGTACATTTACGAAATTATGAAAGAAAAAGTCTTCTTCGTTAAAATATTTATTAATAAAAGACGTACATTTTCGTATAAAATATGCGTTTTTTACAACATTGTCCAAGCATTACCGGAGAGTCGATGGATGGAACTGAAGAACATGTTTTGCCAGATATGGCCGAAGTCGAGGGATGGATCATGGCCGCCAAATTACCTTCCTGGAAATCAAAAGCAATGTAAAATTTCCTTATCATTTTCAGAAAAAAACACCTTCATTTACCTCATATTGCATGTGTCTAATCCGAGCATCGAAATGGGCATAGCTTTGAGCAAAAATATGGCCGACGGGAGTGAAATCGGAATTCCAGGTAATAATTTGTTACCTAAAAACAGAATAAGAATACTTAAATCCAATCCTACCTCCTTTAGCAACTATCACTTGGCCATTCCCTTGTTCGATTTCATTATTTCTGCCGCCTGTGTACGATTTATAAGGCTCTTGCCTAGAAAAAAATTGGAAATCTCGTCTAAAATCAAAAAATAATAAAAAAACAACTTACCATGGAGTCAAAAAGCCTTTTTTGCCCGCCAATTTCGTCCCCGATGTTTATGGCGATCACCTTGAGCCGGTTTGTCTTCTAATTCAGCTTCTCTGCATCTATTTGGCCAATTTCAACAAAAGGAAACATAAGAAAACAGGAAAAAAAGAATTTATGAAGTTGCGAATGTTTTCGCGGCCCGTGAAAACGAAATGCCACGCAGTCCGAGAACGGATTTTAGGTCCAATAACAAGGATGTCCTCGGCGTTATCAATCAAATCAACCGTTTTTTAGCCATGGTAAGCTGTTTTGTTATTATTTTTTGACTTTAGACGAGATTTCCGATTTTTTTTTTTTATATTATTCATGGCAAGAGTCTTACAAACCGTTTTCAGGAGGCAGAAACAACGAAATCGGACAAGGGAAAAGCCGTGTGGTAGTTGTTAAAGGAGGTAAGATTTGATTTAAGTATTATTATTCTGTTTTTAGGTAATAAATTGTTGCCTGGAACTCGGTTTCACTCCAGTCGGCCGTATTTTTGCTCAACATTATGTCTGTTTCGATGCTTGGATTAGACACATGAACTATGAGGTAACAGAAGGCTTTTTTTCTAATCAGAAGGAAATTTATATTGATTTCGATTTCCAGAAAGATCTGTAAGCGGCCATGTTCTTCAACCCCATCCATCGACTATCCGGCCGTATTTAGACAATATTGTGGAAAACCCGCATATTTTACATGAAAACGTACGTCTTTTATTAATAAATAATATAACGATGAAGAGGGACGTTTTTATTATTCATAATTTCGTAAATGTACGATTTATCAGCTAAGTTTTTCACCCTAAACGGTGTTTTTCCGTCAAAAAAGCCAAAACGTGATGGCTGAAAAATTGAGGGGGCGGGGCTTGTTTTGGGACGCCGCAAATCCATGGATTTGCTACCTGCCAATTTTGCGCCGTCGCAAAAGGGCCGATTTGCTACCTCCCAATTTTGCGCCGTCGCAAAATGGCCGATTTGCTTCCGACGTCTTTTTTGGAGGTTGCAAATTGAGGTTTCCGCTACTTTTTGAAATTGGTAGCGGATCCAGCAAACATTATCGAACTCGAGAAAAAATTCTTATTCCTTCGCTCTTATATTCTGAATCAGAAAATTTTTGCGAATTTTTTGATATATATCTCGACCTGTAACTCCACACCCCATAGAAGTACTTTCCTTGTTAAAAATCTCAATATTCTTTAAAAAATTTTTGAAAATTTGAAAATTTTTTCAATTTCATTTTAAATTTTTTTTTGAAAATTTTTTGAATTTAAAAAACTTTCCGTGTTGAAAATAAAAACTCATCTTACGTATTCTAAACTAGCCTAGTTTCAGCGTTATCTCCCCAATTTTTTCCGTCCATTCCACCTTCCAATCCAGCCACGCCGCGTGTATCGAACGGCGCCCGTTTGGCGCATCCGACCGCAGTCGGTCTCTACGATCCTATGCCGCCGGCGATGCCTCAGGTCCTAACCACGACTGGCGGAGTTTTAGCGCCAACTCAGATACGACCAGCCCCTCCGCCAGCACCTTTAAGGGATTCGAAAATTTCGTCAAGGACGAATTTGAATATAAACAATCTACCTCCACAGAGAACGCCGTTACGAATAGTGCTATTGGGGCTTGGTGGGGTGGGGAAAAGTGCGATTACAATACAGTTTGTGCAGGTAAGACTGTAATGAGCTGGTAGAAAAATAATTTGAAGTTCAATTTTTATTTTGTAAAATAAAAATTTAAGAAAAAATGGAAAAACAACATAAATTTTATGATTCCAAACACCTCTCCTCTTAATTTCAGCAATACTTTATCCACGATTACGACCCCACAATAGCGGATTCGTACGCAAAACAATGTTATGTCGACGAAAATATGTGGAAGTTGGAGGTGTTGGACACGGCCGGTCAAGACGAATTTGCAGCCATGAGAGAGCACAACGTCCGAAGTGGCGATGGATTCCTACTAGTATTCTCGCTGACAAATCGAGAGAGTTTTGAGTACCTCAAACGACTGTACCATTATATCGACAGAGTGAAGGACAGAGACTTCTTTCCAATGATTGTGGTTGGAAATAAGTGCGATTTGAGCGCGCAACGGCAGGTGAGTAGTTGTATTAGGTCTAGAATCACCGGTTTTGAACCGTTGAAGCCATTTCTGACGGATTTTTTTACACGAATCACGACTAACGTAAGCTACAATGAGCGTTTGATGCGTCGTCGGCGTTTTTCCTCACATTACACGTGCAGAATAAAGTTTCCCGCAAACGACATTTTCTTACGAAGAAGTTGGTCATCTTGGAGGCTATATCAAAGCCGTTATATAAATCCCTACCATACGAAACATATATCAGCAGATAGCGATTTCAGCGTTCTTTTAGATGCTCTAAACAGAAATTGCGAAATTGTATTGCCACTTGTGAAAAATGCAAAACAAAAAAACGACAAAGTCATATTTCTAGACCTAATACGTCAATTTTTATCACTCCAAATGTCTAATTTTTATTATCCATGAGAGCAACTGATGGGTTTCGGCTATAGTTTTGATGAATTTCACCAATTATCCTTTTTGATTTTTCTAACAGGGGAAGTACTCCAAGCTTTGGAGCTCCAAGTGCGACGCTCAGATTTGGATGAAACTTGGCACAAATTTAGAATATTTTTTCGAAGATATATGCGAAAATCCTAGCTCGCTCTTTGCAGAAACAACCGAGATTTTTAGATCGAAAGTCGGCTTAAATTTAGGACTTTCTGCCGAATTTTGGCACGAAAAGTTTCATGCCTATTTCAACCGTAAAGGATAATGTTTCTACGAAAAATCAAATTTTTCCGCACGAAACTGCCAAAACTATGGCCAAAAAGCGCTTTTCTCTTTCAACGTTTAGCGTGCTCTCTCGGCGGCAACAATCGTTCGATATCTCAGCGGTGGCCGCAAAGAGCGAGCTAAAACTTTCAGGAATTGATACTCACAGGGGAGGTACTCCAAGTTCGACGCTCAGATTTTCTTTAAATTTTGCGCACACGTCCGGTATGGACTAAATATCAATTCACGAAAGTTTTAGCTCGCGCTTTCCGAGATATCGAACGCTTTTTGCCGCCGAGAGAGCACGCTAAACGTGGAGAGCGGTCAGAGAGAAAACACCTTTTTGGCTATAACTTTGGCTGTTTCGACCCGTGACTTCTCGCAGAAAGCGAAATATTGCCATAACAAAAAATGGCTAATATATTCGTATTTTAGCAAAGCCATGACATAAACATAGACTTAAACTGTGAAACTAAAGTATATAACTTGAGTATTATATATTTTTCAGGTGTCCCGTGAAGAGGCCGAAAGTTGGGCCCAATCCGTCCAGCTGCCATATGTAGAATGTTCCGCCAAATTCCGACAAAATGTTGATCGAGTGTTTCATGATCTGGTCAGGTTAATACGGTAGGTCCAGTCAAGACAAAAAGTTCTTTATTTTTTGTCATAATTCTGCCAAAAACAAAACAGAATCATTTATCATTTTTCACAAGAAATTTTTGAAGCACGTCGGTGTATCATAACTGAATTTAATTTCAGGCAATTCCAAATAGCCGAGCGTCAGATGGGACTGGAATACATTTCGGATTCGGCAAATACCTCCGGCTCCAGCGGGAGTCACAAGAAGAAGAAAGGATGCATTGTAATGTAACTGTAACACTCTGCAGTATCATTGTTATATTTAGATATATACTTCGTTGTAATGTCATTCCAACCGTCAACCGATTTGCATATTCAATCTTTTGCTAGTGTAAACTTTTAGACTCGGCGAGCTGCGCCCTAGGTCATCGAGGCGGATCGTATCTTAAGAGTTGCATAAGAGCTAAATTACGACAATGAACAATATTTATGATCTGAAGACCCCGTTTTACATTTTTGTAGCCATTCTCTATCCTAGGGCGCAGGCTGCCAAAAAAAAATTCTGAAAACTTCAAGGTTTGCTTGTAAATCGGCTGGCGTTTTGTTACATTTATTTGTAAATTTGTAAATAGCCCAGTCAGCTCCTGGAAAACCCGCAGAAACCCCGGATATCTCTCGACCAATCTCCCCCAAAGTACAATATATTATATATAAAATGGTTGTAATAAACGTACTTAAAACAATTTTAAAATGACTAATGTTGACATACAAACAGAAAATTTACACAGAATACATCGAATTTATTGAGGGTGGCCACACAACCTCAGGAAAAAAATGGCCCCAAATGAGCAAAAATTCGATTTTTATGCAAATTTTCCACTAAGAAGATTGAAGTCTAAATTGGTCCCCTCATTCTTTTCACACTCTCGCCTCTCCGTGCGGCGCTTCCTACCGACGAAAACTCGATTGCGGACGAGTTTTTCGACATCAAAGAGGCTGTCAAGTTGTGTCTCATGAGGGGTCTCTACACGGATGACTTGACGATGGAAAACGTGGCCGCGGCCGTTATCAGATTCTACCTTATGGTATGTGAAATTTAAGGTTAAATTTTTTTTCTACCTGCGAGTTGGTTTTTAAGGCATTTTATATTTTTAAAAACTTTCAGAACGTGCCGATGGACGAGCTCCACCTTCCTGTTTGTTTTCCAAATTCTGATTTCAAGTTGGTGGGCACGTTCAAGTCGTATGACTAGGAAGAACCTTGAAGACATTGTATTTTGATTATGTAAGAAGAGTCAAATAAATATTTTTATGTGCTTTTTTGATCGGCCATCTAAAGCCAGTATTCCATGTCGTCCAGAAAGGCGACCCATAATGTCTTGACTTCGCACTTTCATGACTCAGGGTAGGCATGAAAATGTCGCCGAATTCGATTTTTATGCAAATCTTGCACTAAGAATATTGAAATCTAAATTGGTCCCTACATTCTTTTCACACTCTCGCCTCTCCGTGCGGCGCTTCCGACATGAGTACTCCTTCGACAGCTGAGTTCTACTCCTCGATAGCGACCTTTCTGCAGTGTCTCAACTTGACCACGAAATTTGAGGGTCAAGTCCCGAACGAGTTCCAGATAATCACCCATGCACAAGGTAATGATGGAGGGTTTATCCGATACACGTACAATCCGTCCGAGAAAAATGTGACGTAAGTGGGGCGCCGGTGCAAAATTTCAATTTTATGTGCTAGGATTCATGTAGGTGACCCTAATTTTGTGCATTTTTTTATTAGTTCGAGAGGGAGGTATTTTGTTGCGTTTTGATTCTTCCCGGATACAAAATGGCACGTTGTTTGCCACCGGGTTAGGTTGCCACTGTATCTTTGCTTCCTTTCAGTCACGAGAAACTGGACTTTGTTGACAAACAGACAGGCCTGGAAAATTATCGCTTTCACTTGGCGCTGGAAGAAGACAAGCTTCTCGTCGGAGTTTCTGGATACAAGGATGAAGAGTGGGGCTTTATTTTGACAATTTTTTTTTGTAAGCAATATCTGGTTTTTGATAAGAAAGCCAAAAATGTAGATTTTTTAGTACTCTGTAGATTTTTACAACAAGAAAAGGGAAAAGGGGGGGGGGCAAGGCAGAGAGTCGGCCTCTGCACGCCTCTGAGGTGACTAGACTTGGCTACCGGGCTGGGCCGGCCCGGAGTAGTTACTTACATCTGTGACTTTGCAGGATTTGCCCCGTATTCAACAAAGCTTTCGAGAAAAAGTACTGCGTTGCACAATCATTTTCCGAAATTTTGGGGCTTGATTTGGTGATCATTGGGTGTCACGTACCATATGTTATCCCGTTCAAATTGAACGGAACCAAGCTTACCGGGTACGCACTCAAAACCGAGAACCAGTTCAACTGCGAGAGCAATCTAGCAGTGTTTGGAGACAAGATTGTCTTCAAAAATAAGGGAGAGGACGTCTGCAAAGAAATAAATTGGGCTGTGGATCACGTTTGGAAAGCGTCGGAATGCGCAAAGGACGACAAATTCAAGTTGAATTCAAAGAACGTCTTACTTTTTCCATTAGTAAGTTAAAAAAAACGCGTCCCAACTTTTCGGGTCAGGGACGGATCGGGTCAACGACATTCCGGGTTAACGATACCGTTTAATGTTTTCGCTTCGAGACTGGCAAAAAAGGATTTTTTGGAGAACTTGAACAAAATTTTCACGTTTACATATAAGATACGTCCTATCCTAACAGTCAAGAGCGGAATAGTTTATCTAAAAAAATCCAGAAATAAAATTTTTACCCTACTCTGTAAAATAAAATTGAAACATTCAGATCGACTCTCCACAAAAAATCTTTTTTTTTGTTTTCTTGTCCCGAAGCGAAAACATTTCAAAATTTTGTTAAATTTTCACAAAGATTCTTTTTTCCAGTCCCGAAACGAAAAAATTAAACGATATCGTATCGTTAACCCGAAATGTCGTTGACCCGAGCTGTCCCTGACCCGAAACGCCGTAGCGCCAAAAAATTGTTTTGGTTTTATTTGACAAGGGAAGTACCCGAAGTGCGACGCTCAGATTTTAATAAAAATTGGCATAGATGGAGATCAGAATTTTCTTATTCGATTGCGAACATCCTAGCTCGCGCTCTGCAGAATCCGCCGAGAAAGAAGGGCCGGAATATCGAAAAAAATCTTCAATTGCCGACGAATTTCCCTGCAAATTCTCTTGATCTTGGCATTTCGTTCCAGGAGAAAAATATTTTTTCTCGCAAGAAATTTTTTCTTGATAATATTCAAGACTATTTTGTTGCTTCTATGTGGAATATTGTGTGTTATTTTCATTTTTTTACACTCTGGACATGATTATAGCGCTATTAATTGGATTGTCGCCATCCGAGGGGTAAAATGTTTCGTCCTTTGACGAATTTATACAGTTTTTCCTCTGCAGATGGGCAAACCACTCTAATAGTTGCTTTAAAGTTGTTTAGGAGACATGCAAACGTTCTACGGTCGTGTATGAACATAATCTTAAAGTAAGTGTTACAAAAACTTTATTACGAAATGCCAAGATCAAGAGAATTTGCAGGGAAATTCGTCGGCATTTGAAGATTTTTCGATATTCCGGCCCTTCTTTCTCGGCGGATTCTGCAGAGCGCGAGCTAAGATGTTCGCAATCGAATAAGAAAATTCTGATCTCCATCTTTTTATTAAAATCTGAGCGTCGCACTTCGGATACTTCCCTTGTGAATCTAATTCTCTTTTTCAGAACTACATTCTTCTTAGATTTTCGGTGGAGAGATGTAAGCCACCTGGCCCTGAGGTAACCGATTATTTAAACAACACCTACATTAACTACCTGTACAATCCGAACGCGTGGGTCCTCGCTTTCTGTGAATTATATTTTTTAGAAGTTCCGAGAATGTGACGATGGCGACGATCCAAGATGAATCCCCGAATTGGGCGCTGATAGGAGGAGGTATTGGCGGGGCGCTGGTGTTGCTCTTACTGCTGATAGGGCTGGCCATTTTTCTCATTCGACGATACAAATAGCCGTGTTAAACCTTCTTAATATTGGATCGTTCAATTTTTAACCAATTCCCAGTATTTTCTAAGCAAAATTTGCAACTTTTCGTCATCATTTTTTATGGGTTTTCAATGCAATTTTACCCAATAAAATATTCCAAACAAGCAAAGGCTGTTTGACCTTTTGCCTTCTAAACTTTACTACCCATTTTTATAGGGTTTATTGACAGTTACTTCATAGTAAAACCGGTTATATTGTGTTTGTCAAAAAATAACCGGTGCTGCAGGTGTATGTTTTCGACCACGCAGAATATTTTTGTAATTATGGCCAAAAGCTCAAAATTACATCTAAGCAATGTTTCGCCTGCGGTAACATACCATTTCGGGATAAAATTGGCTACTGTAACCAGATGCACTTTTAAATACGGTAAAAAGAAACTTCAACCTTCATCCAATAACTCATAAAAATTTCAAAAAAATCAAATACACAACTTTTGAGAAAATGGGCATTCAATATCTTATGTACAAGGTCATCTGGGCCCAAAAAAATGGCATTCTTGGGATTCCAACGGGATGCACTTTTTCAAAGTTTCAAATTTATTTTCAGCTTATTTAAGGATGACATAAGAGCGAAGGAATAAGAATTTTTTCTCGAGCTCGAGAATGTTTGCTGGATTCGCTACCAATTTCAAAAAGTAGCGGAAATCTCAATTTGCAACCTCCAAAAAAGGCGTCGGAAGCAAATCGGCCATTTTGCGACGGCGCAAAATTGGGAGGTAGCAAATCGGCCATTTCGCGACGGCGCAAAATTGGGAGGTAGCAAATCCATGGATTTGCGACGTCCCAAAATAAGCTCCGCCCCCTCAGTTTTTCAGCCATCACTTTTTTTCTTTTTTGACGGAAAAACACCGTTCAAGGTGAAAATTTTAGCTTATAAATCGTACATTTACGATACTATGAAAGAAAAAACGTCCCTCGATTCATTAAAACATTTATTGTAAAATGACGTACATTTCATGAAGAATATATTTTATTTTTTCCACAATTTTGTCCAAATATGGCCGGAGAGTCAATGGATGGGGCTGAAGAACATTTGTTTTTCCACAATATTCTCCAGAGATGGCCCAAGAGTCAATGGCTGGGGTTGATGAACATGGCCGCATATGGATCTTCCTGGAAATCAAAAGCAATATAACATTTCCTTCTAATTTTTAGAAAAAAAGACCTTCATATTTACCTCATAGTGCATGTGTCTAATCCGACCATCGAAATGGACATAGTCTTGGGCAAAAATACGACCGACGAGAGTGAAATTGTTTCCAGGTAACAATTTCAATCTCTAAATTACCTAAAAACAAAGTAATAATACTTAAATCAAATCTTACCTCCTTTAGCAACTACCACACGACTTGTCCTTTGTCCGATTTCATTGTTTCGGCCTCCTGAAAACGATCTATAACGCTCTTGCCAGTAATAATGTAGAAAAAATTGGAAATCTCGTCCAAAATCAAAAAATAATAACAAATCAGCTTACCATGAAGTCAAAAAGCCTTGTTTTCCAGCCAATTTCGTCCCCGAGTCGTTTTATCTTCACATTCAGCTTCTCTGATCAATTGGCCAACTTCAACAGAAGGAAACATAAGAAAAGAAGAAAAAAGAATTTATGAAGTGGCGAATATTTTCGCGGCCCGTGAAAACGAAATGCCACGGATTTTAGGTCGAATTTTCATGGGATTTCTGTTCATTCAATCCGAATTGAAGGCAACCGAGGGCCGAATTCATGGTTGGCCATTTAGGTAAGCTTTTTTTCTTGGTATTTTATTGTTTTAGCAGAGTAACAAGGATGTCTTCGGCCGTATCAATCAAACATCCTACCGTTTTTGGCCAGTCGAACCGTTTGAAAGAGTTGTTGAAGCAGGTTTCTCCGATTTCTGTATTTGGCCATTGTTTATGTAAGCTTTACTGTTTGTATATTGTTTTTTAGTATGAAGACAAGGATCAGAATGTGTCGGTTTTATCAACAAGATATGGTTCGAGCAAGATGCGCCAAAATGGAGAAGTCTCTTGGTCAAATTTAAAAAGAATGGAGTGTGGGATCGATGCGTTGACGAGAAATTCCTTGAAGACAGAATTGTCCACTATATCCGACACAGAAGGCCATATATTGGAGACCACATGAGGATATATCGAAGATGTGCACGAAATGGTTGTGGGTCTACAAGATTGTAAGGAAGATTTTTATTTGATTTTATTGCTTTAGGAGAAACATGACGGGCCCAATCAAAAGCCGCGGCTACTTCTGTCCTAGCCGCACATCAGATCCGGGAAGTCCCCAGCAGATCCAGGACCTCCCCGGCGGTTCCAGGTCCGTGTCTCAACAAGGACTTGCAAGATTGTCTATTTCATCCCTGGCCATATCGCGATATGGCCAGGTCGTATTTATTAGAGATTTTGTTAGTCTTTCTATTGGCCATATGTTAAGCTTTATTATTGTTTACCTTTGTGTTTCCAAGAGGCTGTATTTTTGTCTATTTAGTCGTGCAAGAATTATTTTATATCGATTTAAATGTAAAATATCTGTTTCCTCTCTTACGTCTTGTTATTTTTCGGATTATTTGTTTTAATAAATTGTTATTGTCAAGAAAAATGTATGGGAGTTGTGAATAGTGCTTTATACACTCGAAATATATTCAAAACGGTAAACCGGAGAGCTGGAAAAAGATTTCCGCCGGAGTGGGCGGAGTCAATTTGGGAGGTCGAAAATCCACGGATTTGCTACCTACCAATTCCGCGCCGTCGCAAAAACGTCGTTTTGCTACCTCCTCTCTCGCGGAGGTAGCGAAAACGCCGATTCGCGACCGACTTTTTTCGGAGGTCGCGAAAAAAAGGATTCGCTACCGAGACCACGTCGCAAATCGATCGTTTCGCTACTTTTTGAAATTGGTAGCGAATCCAGCAAACATTCTCGAGCTCGAGAAAAAATTCTTATTCCTTCGCTCTTACATGGCAAGTTTCAGGAGAAAAAAATGTACAACTTTTGAGAAATTGACCAAAATACCTTATTTTAGGTCATTTTGACCCCCAAAAAATCCCGCATTCTTGGACTTTTGATTTAGCGCTGATTCCGAAAGCTTCCCATACACTTTTATCCCATCTAGGGTACATTTTTTTCTCCTGAAACTTGCCATGTCATCCTTAAATAAGCTGAAAATAAATTAGAAACTTTGAAAAAGTGCATCCCGTTGGAATCCCAAGAATGCCAGACATTTTCGGTGTTTTGATGACCTAAAATAAGGTATTTTGGTCAATTTCTCGAAAGTTATATATTTTTTCTCCTGAAACTTGCCATATCATCTTTAATCAGCCTCAGAATGTATTAGAAACTTTGAAAAAGTGCATCCCGTTGGAATCCCAAGAATGCCAGATTTTTTCGGGGCCAGATGACCTTGTACATGAGATATTGAATACCCATTTTCTCAAAAATTGTATATTTGATTTTTTTGAAATTTTTATGGGTTATTGGATGAAGGTTGAAGTTTCTTTTTACCGTATTTAAAAGTGCATCTGGTTACAGTAGCCAATTTTATGCCCGAAATGGTATGTTACCGCAGGCGAAACATTGCTTAGATGTAATTTTGAGCTTTTGGCCATAATTACAAAAATGTTCCACATGGTCGAAAACATAAAGTGGTGGTTCGGTCTCACTAAAATACCGCACCATATCTGCAGAAAAGGCAACTCTTTTCTCAGAAAGAAAGTTACAGTAATCCACCATATAACGACTATGGGCAAAAAAATCAAGCGATTGCTCCATACCGATTGGTGATTCGGTTAACCAATTTTGGTTGAATTCTGAGACATCGACTCAACAATGTCCGGGCCAATCTACGATTTGTAGTAAAACGCGTTTTAAATACTTTTTTCCGTCCATTCCACCCAATCCAGTCACGCCGCACGTCAATCCAAAAATAGAAGAAAAAAATTCCCGCCCCTTTTTGGTGATTCGTTCAAAACGAAATGTCACTATCCGATAAAACGCATTTTCTTATCTTTCTGCTTCCTTTCCGAGAAAAAGCAATTATTTCGGGCGAGAAAAAGTGCCGATAATTTCGCGACATTCAGTCTCTCTTTTAAATCAATGAAAACGATACGAAGTTTCGAAACGGTTCAGGAAATGCGCTGGATTGACGTGCGCCGCGTGTATCGGGTTTGGCGCATCCGACCGCAGTCGGTCTCTACGATCCTATGCCGCCGGCGACGCCTCCAGTCCTAACCACAACTGGCGGAGTTTTAGCGCCTACTCAGATACGACCGGTCGCGACCAGCCCCTCCGCCAGCACCATTAAGGGATTCAAAAATTTCGTCAAGGACTAATTTGAATATAAATAATCTACCTCCACAGAGATCGCCGTTACGAATAGTGCTATTCGGGTTTGGTGGGGTGGGGAAAAGTGCGATTACAATACAGTTTGTGCAGGTAAGAGTGTGATGAGCTTGTAGATAAATAATTTTAAGTTCAATTTTTATTTTTTAAAGTAAAAATAAAAAAAAAATAATAAATCAATATAAATTTTTTAATTCCAAACACTTCCTCTCTTAATTTCAGCAGTACAGGGTGGGCCACTCGAAACTGACAAGTTGTTTCTTTGAATTTCTCCGCGGAGACTCCGCCGATTTTTCTAAAATTTAGATTTTTCTGGAGCTGAGACCCGCCATTTCCGACCGACTGAATTTCAAAAAAATATATTTTGAATTGACCTTTCCAATGTATTCCCAAGGTTTTGAAAAATTATTTTCAGGCCGAAACCGCTAAAACTTACAGGGGAAGTACTCCATGTGCGACGCTCAGATTTTGATGAAACTTGGCACAAGTTTAGAACAATTTTTTTTGTAAGATATATGCGAGAATCCTAGCTCGCGCTTTGCAGAAACAACCGAGATTTTTAGATCTAAAGTCGGCCAAAATTTAGGAATTTTTGCCGAATTTCGGCACGAAAAGTTTCATGCCTATTTCTACCGTAAGGACAATGTTTCTACAAAAAATCAAATTTTTCCGCACGAAACTAGTAAAGTTATGGCCAAAAAGCGCTTTTCTCTCTGACCGCTTTCCACGTTTAGCGTGCTCTCTCCGCAAAAAAAATCGTTCGATATCTCAGCGGTGCCCGCAAAGCGCGAGCAAAAACTTTCAGGAATTGATATTTAGTCCATACCCGATGTGTGTGCAAAATTTAACGAAAATCTGAGCGTCGCACTTGGAGTACTTCCCCTGTAAATGATCACAGTGACGATCATGCCATTCCACGCAACGCAGAGCCGACTCCTCAATTTATGTCTTTAACACTCCTTACGAGGGAATGGTCTGAACTTCCCCCAGCGTTTGGGAAAATGACTAGTACAGGCGGATAGAGCATGTCAACTTTGGTAAAAAGAGCCATTTTCCAGCTGCGGAATAAAAAAAAGGTTAAGCCCAAAAAACGCTTTTCTCTCTGACCGCAACTCTCTCGATTTGTCAGCGAGAATACTAGTAGGAATCCATCGCCACTTCGGACGTTGTGCTCTCTCATGGCTGCAAATTCGTCTTGACCGGCCGTGTCCAACACATCGAATAAGATGAGATTTGGTTATCTTGTAGAGAATCAAATTTGACACACAGAGACTAAAAAAAAGTTGTCAATACGATCATGCAACTTGCACTTTTGTGTTGCAGAAGTTTTAAGAATGAAATTTTTTCAATGGTTATTGCGAAGTTTATACGATGGGGTTCCTTACGATATTTATATTTTCTGAAAGTCGGCTTTTTACTCTACTGCCATGCCAAATTTTGGCCTTCTAGCTCAAACGGCTAGCGAGATATGGAGAGAGAAAGCAAGCGAATTCCGAAAAAAATAGAAAAAGTCGCGGAGATCGGTTGTGTCAAAAACGTACAGAATGCCGTGAAACGTACCTAAAACACATTTAAAAAGACTAATCTTGTCATATACACAGAAAATTTATTTTATTTACATTCTCAAGATTCTGAACTTTTTTTGAAATTTGCATAATCGAAGTTTGGAATCGTGGGAATTTCGAAGTTTCAGAGCTCCCAGAGAGTGGCCACACAACCTCACGAATAAAAATGGCCCCCAAATGAGCAAAAATTCGATTTTTATGCAAATTTTGCACTAAGAAGATTGAAATCTAAATTGGTCCCTTCATTCTTTTTTTTCTCGCCTCTCCGTGCGGCGCATCCGACATGAGTACTCCTTCGACAGCTGAGTTCTACTCCTCGATAGCGACCTTTCTGCAGTGTCTCAACTTGACCACGAAATTTGAGGGTCAAGTCCCGAACGAGTTCCAGATAATAACCCATGCAAAAGACAATGATGGGGGGTTTATTCGATACACGTACAATCCGTCCGAGAAAAATGTGACGTAAGTGGGACGCGGGTGCAAAATTTCAATTTTATGTGCTAGAATCCATCTAGTAAGTAGGTGACCCTAATTTTGTGGAGTTTTTAAGTTCGAGAAGGAGGTATTTTGCTGCGTTTTTGATACTTCCCGGATGCAAAATAGTACGTTTTTTGCCACCGGATTAGGTCCGCCACTGTATGTTTGCTTCGCTGGTAGAGTCGGAAGTGAAATTCTGAGGGATTAAAGACGAATTTCGGGTGCGCGCGATATGCTTGAGAAAGGTTTATCCACATCAAATGTTACTTTCAGTGACGAGAAACTGGACTTGGTTGACAGACAGACAGGCCTGGAAAATTATCGCTTTCACTTGGCGCTGGAAGAAGACAAGCTTCTCACCGGAGTTTCTGGATCCAAGGCTGAAAAGTAGGGCTTTATTTTTAAAATATTGTTTTTGTAGGAAATGCCTGGTTTTTGATAAGAAAATCAAAAATGTAGATTTTTTAGTACTATGTAGATTTTTACAACAAGAAAAGAGAACAGGGGGGTCAAGGCAGAGAGTCAGCCTCTGCACGCCTCTGAGATGACTAGACTTGCCTACCGGGCTGGGCCGGCCCGGAATAGTTAAAGTCCAGAGAAGATTAGGTTTGCTAATGAAAATAAACGCAATGTCAAAACACAATTGGTTTTTTAAAGATATTTTTGTTTTTATTAGATACCTACGGAACACAGTATTTATCTATTTACGTGATGATAGAAAAGAGTTTGGTCATAACGAGTTAGACTTGGGGAGACTTTTGTTTCAATGGGCCGGCCCGGGCCGAAGAAAATTTGAAACGGGACGGCCGACGAGCCAACTCATCTGTGACGTTGCAGGATTTGCCCCGTATTCAACAAAGCTTTCGAGGAAAGGTACTGCGCTGCACAAACATTTTCCGAAATTTTGGGGCTTGATTTGGTGAGCATTGGGTGTCAGGTACCATATGTAACCTCGTTCAAATTGAACGGAACCAAGCTTACCGGGTACGCACACGAAACCGAGAACCAGTTCAACTGCGAGAGCAAGCTAGCAGTGTTTGGAGACAAGATTGTCTTCAAAAATAAGGGAGAGGACGTCTGCAAAGAAATAAATTGGGCTGTGGATCACGTTTGGAAAGCGTCGGAATGCGCAAAGGACGACAAATTCAAGTTGAATTCAAAGAACGTCTTACTTTTTCCATTAGTAAGTTAAAAAAACGCGTCCCAACTTTTCGGGTCAGGGACGGATCGGGTCAACGACATTCCGGGTTAACGATACCGTTTAATGTTTTCGCTTCGGGACTGGGAAAAAAGAATTTTTTGGAGAATTTGAAAAAAAATTAAATGTTTCCGCTTCGGGACTAGGAAAACAGAACTTTTTGAAGAATTTGAACAAAATTTTCACGTTTACATACAAGATACGTCCTTTCCTAACAGTCAACAGCGGAATAATTTATCTAAAAAATCCAGAAAAAACATTTTTACCCTACTCTGTAAAATAAAATTGTAACATTCAGATCGGTTCTCCACAAAAAATCTTTTTTTTGTTTTCTTTTCCCGAAGCGAAAACGTTTAAAAAATTTCTTCAGTTTTCTCAAAAATTCTTTTTTCCAGTCCCGAAACAAAAAAATTAAACGATATCGTGTCGTTAACCCGAAATGTCGTTGACCCGAGCTGTCCCTGACCCGAAACGCCGTAGCGCCAAAAAACTGTTTTTGTTTTATTTGTAATCTAATTCTTGTTTTCAGGACTACATCCTTATTAAATTTTCGGTGGAAGGATGTCAGCAACCTGGTCCTGAGGTAACCGATTATTTGAACAACACCTACATCAACTACCTGTACAATCCGAACAGAAGATCGTGGGTCCTCGCTTTCTGTGAATTATATTTTTTTAGAAGTTCCGAGAATGTGACGATGGCGACGATCCAAGCTGAATCCCCGAATTGGGCGCTGATAGGTGGAGGTATTGGCGGGGCGCTGGTGTTCCTCTTACTGCTGACAGGACTGGCCATTTTTCTCATTCGACTATACAAGAAAAGACAGTATCGGTAAGGTTTCGATCAAATTATTGATCTAAATGTATTTAACTTCAGCCGTCATCCCGCGCGCCACGTCCGATACGACTTCTCCACTGGCACGGGAATGCAAACGCCAAAGGAGTGCGAGGGCAGATATCGTTTGGTAAAGCTGAAGAGTGGCAGGAGACTTCAGGTCCCGGTGAGTGACTTTGTGTTATAATGGGATTTTTGGGGACTTTTAAAAAAATTAAAAAAATTTTTTTTTTGTGTTTTTCGGACTGAAATGTTGGTATACACTGCATTTCAAAATGATAGGCACGCCTATAAAATCTGCAATTGCGGCGTCGACGTGCAGTTGACGGATACGAAACCTTTACAGATTGAAAGAGGAGGTTCGAAAACCTATACCAAAAAATAATCTTTTTTATTGCACTGCAATTGCACTTTGCACAAAAGATTTTCCAAATTTTGGGTGTTTCAAAATGATCGACACGGTTGCTATTTTTGCTAAAAACTTGCGAGTATGGGCCCCATAGGGCCTGAAATTATTAGTATGACTGTATTGCAACTGTCTGGGCCTTATTGACAGGGGAAGTACTCCAAGTGCGACGCTCAGATCTTCATGAAACTCGGCACAAATTTAGAATAATTTTTTCTAAGATATATGAGAGAATCCTAGCTCGCGCTTTGCAGAAACAACCAAGATTTTTAAATCGAAAGCCGGCGAAAATTTAGGACTTTTTGCCGAATTTCGGCATGAAAAGTTTCATGCCTATTTCAACCGTAAAGGATAATGTTTCTACAAAAAAATCAAATTTTTCCGCACGAAACTGCCAAAGTTATGGCCAAAAACGTTTTTCTCTCTGACCGCTCTCCACGTTTAGCGCGCTCTCTCGGCGACATAAATCGTCCGATATCTCGGCGGCGCCTGCGAAACGCGAGCTAAAACTTTCAGGACTTTCATTTCAATACTATGGACATCCAAACTTGAGTAGCAGAGGCATTAAAAGGCATTTTTCTGGCCCGATTCGCAGAGTTATAACCGAAAAAACTGCAATTTTGGCCTTCTTATTGAGCTATCTGCACTTTAAAAGTACACACAAAAAATCCCTCTTAAATTTTTGTTGCCCAGGTTGTGGTGAACCACTATGCAAAATCTCAGCTTTCCAAGACTCCTCCGGAAAAAGTTATAACCGTTACAATATATGACCCTTGTATGTCCAATATTTAGTAAAATACGATGAACTATGATGCAATATGGGGTTATATGATGGAATTTCTATTGCTGCTGTTGTGTTTGATTTTCATTTTGTGTTTTTCAGACGATCATCGATAATGTGGAGGTGAAGCGGATGGTCGCCGAGGGCCAATTCGGCGCATTTTACGAATACCAGTACAAGGGGACGTCGTACTGGTACAAGTTGGAGGCCAACCTAGGCCCCAAATACAAGCAACCGCTCGCCTGCGAGAGCGGCGTCTACCAGCTCTTGGACCAACTGCCGAAGCTCCCAGACAAAGCGTAAGTTGGATGGGGACCAAACAAAATTTTGAGAAATACAGGGTGGGCCACTAAAACCTTCCGTCCTCTTTTTTTAGATTTCTCCGCTGAGACTCCGCCGATTTTCATGAAATTTAGATTTTTCTCGAGCTGAGATGCGCCATTTTCAACCGGTTGAATTTGAAACAAAATTATCCTGAATTGACCTTTCTATGCCTTCCCAAAGTTTTTGAAAATTATTTTCGAGCCGAAACCGCTAAAACATAGAAAATTTTTGGAATGATTTTCGGCGCTACGACATTTCGGGTCAGGGACAACTCGGGTCGCGACAACTCGGGTCAACGACAACTCGGGTCAACGACACTTCGGGTCAACGACACCTCGGGTCAACGACATTTCGGGTCAACGATGCCGTTTAATATTTTCGCTTCGGGACTGGGAAAAAAGAATTTTTTGGTGAATTTGAAAAATTTTTGAAATGTTTTCGCTTCGGGACTTGTAAAAAAGAATTTTTTGAAGAATTTGAACAAAATTTTTAAATGTTTTCGCTTTGGAACTTGGGAAGAAAGGTCAATTCAGGATATTTTTTTTCAAATTCAACCGATTGAAAATGGCGCATCTCAGCTCCAGAAAAATCTAAATTTCATGAAAATCGGCGGAGTCTCCGCGGAGAAATCTAAAAAAAGATGACGGAAGGTTTTAGTGGCCCACCCTGTACAGTGAAGGGCCTGATCCAATGGCAAAAAACGTCCCATTTTGCATCCAGGAAGGAACCAAATTATCTCCAAATACCTCCCTTCTATAAGCTAAAAAACCCCGTTTTGAAGGGCGCGCCCTTTCCTTCAATAAGACAGCGCTAGCTCCGACTGCTTCCAACAATATTCGCAATCAAAAATCGCGCGCTTTTTTCTTTTCTTGCATTCTCCTTCTCCGGGGAAAAAACAAAATTCGGCAAATACAGAAGGCCAAAAGAGAAAGAGAGAAACGCAAAAGGCGCGCGCTTTTTGATTGCGAATATTGTTGGAAGCAGTCGGCGCTAGCGTTCTCTTTTTGAAGGAAAGGGCGCGCTCTTCAAAACGGAGTTTTTCAGCTTATAGAAGGGAGGTATTTGGAGACAATTTGGTTCCTTCCTGGATGCAAAATGGGACGTTTTTTGCCATTGGATCAGGTCCCCCACTGGAAAAAAATTATAAAAAAACTTCTAATCCGTTTGTTTCAGCTATATTGGCAGTATGCTGAGCTGCTGCCACTTCTCCGAAGGCGTCTACTGCATGCGGGTCGAAAATTATGGACCAAACGTTCGCGAGATGCGCCAAGGACAACTAATGGCTCTGAACGAGGCCCAAAAACTCTTCTTCCAGTTGCTTTACTGCACCAAAGCGCTGATCAAGTACGGGATTTGCCATCGGTACATCAAAGAAAGTGCATTCTACGTCAAGAAAGACCGAGATACGTATCGGGTGAGTTGAGTTTGTATTTTTTCTGGTTTAGTATTAATTTTTTTTTAAATACTTTTTCACCTTTCGGGCCGGCGTTCTCGGAGGATAGGTTACCCCTGACAAATAGGTTACCCCACCGGATAGGTTACCCCAAGTTTCGGATAGGTAACCTCGGAGGATAGGTTACCCCACGGATAGGTTACCTCGTAGGATAGGTTACCCCGAGGATAGGTTACCTCGGAGGAGAGGTTACCCCGAAGATAGGTTACCTGAAAATTTTTTTTTAAATGTTTTCGCTTCGGGACTTAGAAAAAAAGGATTTTTTGTGAAATTTGAAAAAATTTTGAAATGTTTTCGCTTCGGGAGTTGGAAAAATAGGATTTTTTGTGAAATTTGAAAAAATTTTGAAATGTTTTCGCTTCGGGAGTTGGAAAAAAAGGATTTTTTGTGAAATTTGAATAAAATTTGAAATGTTTTTGAGCTGACTGAGTATGAACTGACTGAATATGAAAACTGGGTTTCTGTTACTTTACTACCTTTAGGGATTCTTTTTGAAATTTTTTCGACTTATAACACTTATAGACGTTAATGGTGTTGTTTTGGTGCCTAGTACTGCTTAAAAAACACATTTTTAACACTTGGTACTATTTAGTACGAGGTGCAAATTTGGCCGTAAGGCGGTAATGCCGTTGGTTTGGTGCTTAGTAGAACCCAAAAACACGTTTTAACACTTGGTACTATATAGTACCAACTGGTACTGTTTAGTGAGAAGTGAAAATTTGGCCGTAAGGCAGTAATGGTGATGGTGTGGTGCTTAGTAGAGCCCAAAAACACGTGGTACTATATAGTACCAGGTGGCCATTGGTTTTAGACAAAATTTTAGTGCTGGCGGCACCACAGTTAATAGTCAGTCAGACACCCTTTTTCTACTCCCGATGCGAAAAGATTTCAAAATTTTGTTGAATTTTCCAAAAATTCTTTTTTTCCCAGTCCCGAAGCGAAAACATTTCAAATTTTTTTTCAAATTTCACAAAAAATCCTTTTTTTCAAGTCCCGGAGCGAAAACATTTCAAATTTTATTCAAATTTCACAAAAAATCCTTTCTTTCAAGTCCCGAAGCGAAAACATTTCAAATTTTATTCAAATTTCACAAAAATTTTTCTTGCAGTTTGTCATTACTGACCTCGGATATGCAATCAGAATCGGCTCGGAACGCTCGGCCTTTTATCCAATCCCCGAAACGGCAACCACTCACATCCACGCGAAGAAAGCGTTGAAGGTGGAGGACTCGGAGAGCCTGCTCTTCATGATCCTGCGAATGATGGTTCCACTGCCTTGGGAGGGGGTGAAGAACATTGAAGAGGCCAGGAAGATCAAGTTGGAGTGTACCGAAGAAGGAATACCGGACGAGTTCAACACCAAGGAGGCTATTACCTTGTGTCACATGCGGGGTCTCTACACGGACGACTTGGCGCTGGAAAACGTCGCCGAGATGATGATCCTGTATTATCTGGCGGTATGTGGAATTTTTTTTTTTTTACCTGCGAATTGGTTTTTAAGCGCATTTTATATTTTGAAAAAGTTTCAGGTAGAACCGAGCGACGACCTCCACCTTCCGGTCCATTTTCCAAATGCCGAGTTCAAGTTGGCGGGCACGTTCAAGTCGTATGACTAGTGAGAGATCATTCATCTTTTTTTGAGTAAATATTTTTATGTGTGATTTTTTTTTGATCGGCCATCTAAAGTCAGTATTCCATGTCGTCGAAGAAAGGCGACACATAATGTCTTGAATTCGCACTGCGGACACGGGTAAAGAGAATCGGCTGAAAAGGGTTCAGAAGATACAATATGACATTTCTTTCAAATTTCTATGCTTCGGCGGAGACATTTTTTAACCTCGGCGGACAATTTTTCTTCGACTCCGGATAGTCAAAATTGGCTAAAACCAAAGAGTATGGTATATCTGGTGGCTTGGAGCCTGAAAACGACTTAATACGTCTTCAGCCGGCTGGCAGATGAAAAAAAGGCAATTCGGCGGAGAAATCGGCGAAGAAAAAAATAAACCCATTTCAGAAATTATGATGAGAAAACTAAAGTTGTAGGTCTTATACGGCCCTGATCAACCAAAAGTATTATTCTTCTTTTTGGCGGATGCTCGGCGGATAAATTTGCATAAGTTCTTAAATACGTTCATTTTTTCTTCGCCGATTTCTCCATTTCGCGGATCGCGACGGCTTTGACGAAATTCCCTTTTATTTTGACGTGTGACGGTTCTCCTAATCTGTACAACAAATAACTACACTGCTAGGTGCAATTTTATTTGTACCGTTGGTTGTAACAGCTTCTGTCATGACCAAAATCCCGTAGATATGGTATCAAAAACATAATGCCTTAAAAATCATTGACAAGTCTTCGATACTGTCCTGATTTTGTAAAGATTTTGACGTGAGAAGATTTTTTTCCAGATGATGAATGGGATATTAATTCTTCCATTATTTCTGCTAATGGTCACTGACGTTCTTCGAATTTATTGCATATAAAGTACGTGCCGTTGACTTTGTAACAGCCTACGGAATCATGGTTGGCGGCCGGTCTGGCGGCGCTGGTGGCGGAAACAGAAAAAAGCCCCAAAATTTTGGATTTTTGTGTTTTTGAGGACCTCAACGCCAGTTATAGCTCGTGTTGCTCCAAAATTCCGTGATTATAGAGCGTATGCTTAGCCAACCGTTATAGTGTAAAAGCCAATCCGCACATACAAGGGGACCGTTTCTGCATATATAAAAGTTCATGGGGGGAACTCAAGGCACGGTCATTCGGAACTTGAAACGTTTTGGCAGTTTGCAAAAAATTGACAATGAACGATATTTATGATCTGAAAACCCCGTTTTACATTTTTGTAGCCATTCTCTATCCTAGGGCGCAGGCTGCCAAAAAAAATTTTCTGAAAACTTCAAGGTTTGCTTGCAAATCGGCTGGCGTTTTGTTACATTTTTTGTAAACTTTTAAATAGCCCTGTCAGCTCCTGGAAAACCCGCAGAAACCCCGGATATCTCTCGACCAATCTCCCCCAAAGTACAATATATACAAAAGGGCCCGTTTTTATGTCAACCTTGGCGAGCTGTAAAAAGCCTAATTGTCATAGTGAGGCAAAATCAATCTCAGTGTATGAAAACCGACCGGAGCGCTATCAGAAAAAGTAAATTTCAGCCCATAGCATAAAACGATAAAGATAGCGCAACCATTTTTTGACCAATTTGGGGTCCGCGTTTCAGGCGCCTTAGTTGTAAGCACTTATAATGGCAAAACATGTGTCGTAGACAATTATTTTGTCTGAAACTTTAAAAATGGCTTCTAGGACGTATTACACGTGCCCACAATCGCCCACTTTGTTCCCGTACTCTTACAGCTCGCAGGGCAAGCAAACGAAATATTAGTCCAGATTTTATTGGCGCACCCTGTACAATATATCAGTATGTCGGGAAAATAACGGCGGATCGTGGCGCCTCGGAATCGCCCATCATCGCTTTGCGACTGCAAGCCGCGGCTTGGGATTCGGTGCGCGATAGCGGCGAAGCGAGACATTTTGCTGCGACGATCCGCCGTTATTTTTCCGACAGACCGATAAAAAATTGGTTGTAATAAACGTACTTAAAACAATCTTAAATCCGCTATTGATGACTTCAGAGAAAATTTATACAGAATACATCGAATAAACATACCGCATAAGGCTCAAATATATTATCAATTTTGCAATTTTTCTGCTCTTACTTACGTAACTTCAATCAAACATACTTCTTTGAAAAAATCAAATAATTTCTGCTTTAAGACAGACACAAATTACAGAAAATCTCTACTCCAAGTAAAAAAATAAATACATTTCATTCATACAAATTTAATTTGTCCGTGCTCTTGTCATCATCGTCACCGCAATCATCACTATGGTCAGCCACAAAACCATCTCCAAGAAGGCCGTGAAGAGCTCCAAGCCAAGCCTGAAGGCCAAGGCGTCGAGCTCGTGGTGTGAGTATATGCTGTGGAATATCAGCCCCGCGCTGAACGAAACAACCGGGCTGACAAGGACGAAAATGCTGATGACTTTAAGGGTAAGTACTTTTTTTATTTTAAAGAAGTTTTGTAGCATGGAATAGAAGATTTAGGGCGTTTTCGAGTTAGTAAAATGCTAGTAAATTTGAGTTAGTAGTCGAAATAGCAGTAGAAACGTATTTTCCTTGCAGTATGTAATCGCCTACTGTTTAAAAAATTGATTACCAGTGGTCGAGATTCAAAATTTTATAATAAATGGCATAGTTCTTATCAAAGGTAAATTTCAGACAATCTCGAAAAAACTCGGCACCACAATTAAAAAGATGCATAAAGTCGAGAACGTCGACGTTCAATTTGGCTGCAATATGGCCATTGGCTGTAAATTGAATGAGTCGACGGGAAAATACATGAATTATGAGGCCTCTAGCCTCAACATGTTCAACACAGCGGTTAAAAGTGTTTTTGATTCCGAAACGCCTTCTGTGTCAACGATTACACGGAAGGATCAACGGCTGGAAAATGAGGACGAGAATGCGGCAGTGGCATTCTGTGAAGGTAAGAGAAGATCACATTTTAATTCAGGTTTTCTTATAGCTCTTTTTGTATATGTAATCAGCTAAATAATTTAATTTCAGAGTATTTTAAATCGGCTCGGTATTCTTTGGAGGTCCAGCCTTCATTTAATCCCACAGCCTCCCAAGTCTACGCTAAAATTTTTGAAAAAGTAAAAGGCCGATTAACAAACGTTAAATGCCAATTGGAAGACATCAGGCATCTGGAAGGCGCAGCTCTGAAAAAGATTATAATAAACGAGCAAAGATCGAGCCAACAATGTAAGCAATGATTTTTTCAACCATCCACTTTATACAGGGTGCGCCAAAAATATTGGGACAAAAATCAATTCCATGTAGCTTTTTTCGGCTGGCCTTGGAATCAAACCTTTTTGCCGTTTTGGCAAGGGTAACAGTCTTGCTATACGGCAACGGTAATGCCAGCGTTGGGGCCTATTGCAAACTTGAAAAAATATTCAAAAGTTTTTGGGGGACCAAAATTTTCTTTTCAAGTGGATGACCGGCAAATCAATTTGGCCATTATTTCCGCTAAGGGAAAGTAAGATCCTTCAAATTTATTGCGTATAAAGCACATGCTATTCACTTCGTAACAACGTATGTAATCGTGGTTGACGACCGATATGGCGGCGCTGGTCGAAAAAACAAAAAAAAATCCCGAAAGTTCGGATTTTTATGTTTTTAACGATCTCAATACCACAGTATCGCCCGTGTTGCTCTAAAATTTTGTGGTTATAGAGTGTATACATAGGGAATTGTCATACTGTAAAAGAAAATCTACACCTACAAGGGGACAGTTTCTGTATGGAAAAAACTTTATGGTGCGGATTGGAGGCACGGTCCTTCGAAGCTTGATATATTTTGGCAGTTTACTACAAGTTGAAAAGTACTTGAGCGTAAAAATCGACATAACGCTGTACTCGGGATACATGCTGACACAACTGAATTACTTTTAGCGATCTTCAGTCCAAGTTAACTTGACGAGCAACCTTAGAGTAAATTCTACCGCTGTAGTCACTATTTCATCCCCCAGAGACAGAAGATAAAAAAATAATTTTTCAAAGACGACTAGTAAGACTCTCGTTGTCCTTATAAAAGCATCTCTGATGCCTAATACGCTGGGAACCGTACATGGAAACTTCTACATAAAAATCTTTGATCTTACGGAAGTTTTCTGGAAAACGGCGCGTTTTTAGGCCGACTTTGACGGACTGTAAAAGATGTAATCGTCATTATAAGTAAAAATCTTTTTTAGTGTATAAAAAGCGACCGCTACTCTGTCATATAAAGTGAATTTCTGCCATAGCATGCAACGGTAAAACTTGGTGTTTCCAATTTTTATCCATTTTGGGGTCCGTGTCTCGGGGGCCTTAGTTGTGAGCACTTATAATGGCAGAACAGGTGTCGTATACGACCGGAGTTGGACGATTGGGGAAAAAGACGATTGGGGAAAGGGACGATTGGGGAAAAAGACGATTGGGGAAAAGTACGATTGGGGAAATCGAAAGTATTATTTTTCTTCCATGCAAATGTCGAAGTTAGGATAATCGAGGGTGCTGATTTCGAAAATCATGTAAATTTTTCCTCTAGTACTACATAGTACTATTCTGATACTATATAGTACGAAGTGAAAATATGGCTTTTGACGTTAATGGTGTTGTTTTGATGCTTAGTACTCTTCAAAAACACGTTTTAAAGACTTGGTGCTGTATAGTACTGTCTGATACTATGTAGTACGAAGTAAAAATAGGCGTACTAAGCACCAGAACAACACCACGAACGCCTAAAGGCCAACTTTACACCTCGTACTACATAGTATCAGGTAGTACTATATAGCACCAAGTCTTTCAAACGTGTTTTTGAAGAGTACTAAGCATCAAAACAACACCATTAACGTCAAAAGCCATATTTTGGCCTCGTACTATATAGTATCAAGAATAGTACTATGTAGTACTAGAGGAAAAATGAACATGATTTTCGAAACCAGCACCTTCGAAATCCCCTAAATCCAGTATTTTTCAAAAATTTTTAAAAAATTAGTACTTAACAGTACTACTTAAGGAACACTAGTAATGTTCAGAAAAAATAAACCCGATATTCGAAATCAGCACCCTCGAAAACCCCTAAATCGAGTATTTATGAAAAAAAAATCAAAAATTACTACTTTACAGTACTACTTAAGAAAAAAAGTAAGAATCAAAAAAAAAGAATGTCATTTGCGAAATGAGCACAATCGATTATCCTAATTTCGACATTTGCATCGAAGAAAAATAATACTTTTCGGTTTCCCCAATCGTACTTTTCCCCAATCGTCTTTTTCCCCAATCGTCCCAGTTCCGTATACGACTACTCTGTCTGAAACTTTGAAGATAGATTCTTGGGAGTATTGCACGTTTGCACAAGCGACCACTTTGCTCTTGTACCATTACAGCCCGCAGGGCAAGTAAAAATATGAGTCCCAATATTTTTGGCGCACCCTGTATTTTTCTTCATATTTTACCAAAAAATTTTAGATTATGCCCCAGTTTTGGCCGCCAACGCCACTGAAATGATTGGATTGTCTTTGGAGACGTTCAGAGACTCAGGGTAAGCCATTTTCAACAACTACATATAACACAGTTAACAAAAATTCAACTAATTCAAACTAATCAAAGTAATTTTCAGATATGCCCCAAACCCTGCGGTCACAAAGCTGAGCTGCCGGTTTGCCATGGATAACATGTCCTATTATCATGGAATTTACAAAAATTTGGCGTCTACTTTCCCCAATCTGGAAACGGTTACTTTGGAGACAAATGTTATTTCCTTGCCCTCAGGCGAGGAAATGGAAACGGTCCAAATTGTGGACACTCTCCAACCAATCGTGGAAACCATCCGCCAAATCAGCGAAGCGGCGACGGTAAAAACGGCGGTAAAGCTGGAAATTGCATTAGATGACAACGAGCTTCAAATGCAGAAACTTTTGCGCGACTTTTTCACATTTAAATTTGAAAAACTTGGATTTGAAAATGATGATTATTTGAGCTTCAAAAGCGACTTCTTTTCTGTTGATATTAAAGTACTTTGTTAAATATGAATAAAATATAATATTTTAATATTCGAACATTAAATATCCAAGATTTTGAATTCGGCTATCTGCGGCCGAACTTAAACGATTCATGTTTTAAGGATGTATAAAGCGCAATACGCATATTTCATATAAATTATTATAACTCAAAACTATTTCAACTTGCCAAATAATAAGCGTAAATGCAGCACAAAATATATTTTACCCAGAACACTTCTTCAATCAAAAAGATTGTCATGATTTTCATCATATTTATCAAGTGCAATATAAACTTACATACCCTAATCAATCATTTTGTATGGGGACAAAATTCCTTTCGGATCAAAAGCCTTTTTGATCTCCGAATTGATGGCTTGTTTCGTTTTGTCGACCAATTTGTGATGATGCGTTCGTTTCAAGCGGCCGATTCCGTGTTCCGCCGAAATCGAGCCGTTATGAGAGGCAGTCCAGTCGTAAATGAATGGGTACAGTCTAAAATTCAAGTATATTTAAAACAGTCGAGATACAATTTTCAAAAAAAAAAAAAAAAAAAAACATTTTTGCAATTTCGAGTCAGTTTCGCGACTCACCTATCATAAACTTCTTGATCGAATTGCTCCGCCGTTACATTCAAATGGGAATTTCCATCGCCCAAATGCCCAAAAGTCACAACTCTTTTGGCTTTGCTTCCCTTCAATCGGTCTCGGATCACTTCACTGAGTTCGTAGAAGTGCGCCAGAGGTAATGACACGTCGTGTTTATACACATACCCATCCAAGTTCAGAGCCAGCGAAGCGTTTTCGCGGATTTTCCAAAAAAGTTCCGAGTCTTTTCCGGACTGGGCCATCACTCCGTCCGTGGCCAAGCCCGTGTCCATGCAATGTGAAAGCAAATTTTCCATCTTCTCCGCGTCATGGTCGGGGTTGGAGCCTAAAAAGGATTTTTTATTTCAAAATTTTTTTCTCAATTTCCAAAAAATATGTCATGATGACAGAATTTCCAAAAAAAAACGTCATGATGACAAAATTTCCAAAAAAAACATGTCATCATCACAGGATTTCCAAAAAATATGTCATTATGACAAAATTTCCAAAAATATGTCATTATGACATAATTTCCAAAAACCCGTCATCCAAAAATTTCAGACCCCTACCTGACGTCTCAATCAGCAAATTGAATGCCGGCTTCGAATCCAAAACCGACTCCAAAGCCACGTTCTCTTGAACACATCTCATCGATTCCGAATCCATCAATTCGAAGCTGGACAAAATCTCGCCCAACATTTTCTTGCACGCTCGCAGAACTGCACAACAATCGGCAAAGGATTTTGTGCCCAAGAACGCAAGCTGAACGCTTTTCGGCTTCGGCGGGACGAGGATTGCGCATCTCGTGATCAGGCCGAGCTGTCCTTCCGAGCCGATGAAGAGTTGTTGCAGCTTGAGGTCGGAGTTGTCTTTTCGGAGGGGTGCGCCGAGTTGAAGGAGAGTGCCTTGGGCGTCGGGGATGGCCTGGAATAAAAATTTAATCAAAATTTGAACAAAAAATTGCAAAATTCCACAAAAATAAAAAAAAAATTTTTTAATTATAAAGCAGGAAAACACTAAAGATACTGTTTTTTAGGTTTGATGGACTTTTTAATCGCATTTGTAATCCAAAAAAATCATCATAGCGATAAAAAAATTAAAAAAAACTTGTCATGATGACAACCCAAACACCCAAAACTCATCCCTTACCACTTGTAATGAAAGCACATTTGCATTCAAACTTCCATAACGGACCAGTCGAACACCTCCGGCGTTTGTCGCGATGTTTCCGCCAATAAGACAACTTCCCTTCGCACCCAAATCAATTGGCATCATAAATCCATCCTGGGCCAGTTTCTCGTCCAATTCTTGAAGAACAAAACCGGCGTCGCATTCAAGGATCCCTAAAAAGACGATTTCAAACAATTTTTTGAACAAAAAATCCAAGTGAGATTCGAACCTGCGACTTTTCGAGTGGGATTTCAAATCACAACCACTATACTAAAAGTGGGTGGGTTTGAAAATTGGCCTACCTGAATTCTGGTCCAAATTATAGTGGGTTCTCAGCTTTTTGATTGAAATTATCACTTCATCATGCACTGGGACACTCCCTCCGACCAAACCAGTGTTCCCCGCCTGAGGGCAAATAGCCAATTTTCGGTCGTGGCAATGCCGGAGTAGTGCCGAGATCTGCTCACTGGATTCGGGGGTCAACACACAACTGGATTTACCTAAAATATTCAAAATTAATTATAAAAAAATACTAAAAAATAAAAATAAAAAAAAAATAACCTTTATACCACTTCACAAAATCGATGTTGTACGGGTCCAAATCATCTTTTAGCACATTATTTGAGCCACATATCCTTTCAAAAGCTGACAAATCTTTGTCTTCGAGGCGGCCGAAATCCCCTCGATCGGCCGTTTTATGTGAAGAAAATCGAGATTTTTTGCAAATTTCTCGAAAATTCTTTGGGTTCAGCAATGAAGATCGATGTATCATCACTGCAAAAATTTACTAGACGTTTTAAACGTTCGAAGAAAGGATAAAAACACAAAAATTTGAGAAAAATGTAAGTGTAATGTCAAAAAATCTAAAATTTTTGGCAAAAACCTCAAAAAAAATTTCGAATTGACAAAAAATGCGGAAGGGATGTCAGAGAGCATTCAGCAACGTGTTTGGACATTTGTTTCTGTGAAAAATCAAAGATTTTTGGAGCAATGAAAAGCGGGAGCATTGAACATTCAGTGGGTTCACGGCTCATGTTTAATCAAAAAAATTTCTAAAATAAACAATGTAAACATTACTTCAAGTACTCTGTTAGTTCATAAAAAATAACTATCCAAACGGTGAAGTGTATTTTACAAAAAAAAATATCCAAATTTTTTTTAAAAAAAAAATTTGTTTTATTTATGCAAATTTAAAGCTAAAAATAAAAAAATGATAGCCTCAGGAAATTTCATAAAATTTCCAATTGTCAAACCCGTATTTTACATTCGAAGAAAACTTCAAAAAACTTTTCTTCCGTTGCCGGGAATCGAACCCGGGCCTTGCGGGTGAGAGCCGCAAATCCTAACCACTAGACCACAACGGAACACGGCTGCCTTTTCGAAAGTTCCCCTCTCGAGTCAAAAGAGAGGCATTTTCAAGGTGAAAGCAGGCGATTTTATCGTTTTTTCGAAGGAAATGAGTTTAAAAAACTATTCAAATAAATATTTCCGTATAATCAACATCTCAATTTGATCGAATACGTATAAAAATACTGGAATTTGAATCTACAACACGATTTTTTCCAAAAAAACCAACAAAAAATACATTTTCTGCGTGCAACCACCAAAACAACATCGAAGGCTTATCAAAAATCACATTTTTACACTTTTACGGAAACGATAAACAATTCACCATATAAAACATACTCAAAACTTTCAAAGATTCGATCGAATTTCACCGAAATTACCTAATCAAAGAACTAGTATTATCAGTATTTATGCAGTAAACAGATTGTAATAAGTTAGGTGAAATTTGTGGATCGTTATTTCTTCGACCCGTATTTTATTTCCATTTGCTTAGTTATCCGAGAAAATCCTTGAATTCCGGGGATTTTTTTCGCGAGACGTTCGGCGGCTGCTGGACTAAGTGTAACGTCGACTAAAAATTAAACTTTTAGATAGAAGAACAGTGGAGAATTTTGAGATAAAATCACTACAAGGTCTACAGAACCTAGTGCAATATACAAACTCTCAATTTTCGTCCAAAATCGCTTAGTTTCCAGTCGGTTACCTAAAAACAAAACAAAAAATGAAAAATCATACGTGAATTAGCTTTTTTCGCTTTCTTAGCAGGCGATTTTGGTTTATTCTCCACTTTGGACCTCTTTGATTCTCCAGAATCCTCGGGCTCCTCTGATCGTCGTTTTCTATTTTCAATTTCTTCTTCTTCCGGAATGGCGTCAACCCGATTTCTCCTCTTGGCTCGGGCTTCCCGTTCTTCGGCTTGGGCTCTTCTCTGCGCTTCCAAACTGATCTCAGGCTGTTCTGAGGCACTTTTCTTAGTCTTTCTAGGCGTTATCGGTCTTGGTGGACTGCTTGGGATCACAATGGCTGACGAAGAAGGGCTTTCTTGTTCGGCCGAGGACTTCTTTTTGGATTTTGGAGTTGTCACCGACTTCTTTGGAGATTTTATAGATGAAACAAGCTGAAAAGAAAAGATTTTAGCTATTATAAAACAGCTCAAAGGCTTCAAAGCGTTGTCTCATACCCTTTTAATCTTGCTCGAGTCCACTTTATCCTTGTAGTTCGTCTTTTTGGCCACTTGATACACCTCATAAACCAAAGAAGCTGCTTCTGGACTTCCGACCAACTTCTGAATCTCGCCTTTGCTATCAATAATCTTGCTTTTGAGACTGTGAACCTGATCCAACTTGGTTATGATATTCTGAAAAAAAATTATATTATCCATGATAAAATTTTTGCTCTAAATAGAGCCAAGAAATGTTTAAGAAGAAGCAAAAACGATTCGAATTCCTCCATGACAGATTATACCTAAAAACCAAACAAAAAAAATAAAAAATCTTACATTCCAAGGAACATTTTGAACTCCAGCCAGCCAGGCGAGAAGATTGTGTCCGAGGATCTCGTAATCCGCTCGGTAGGACGGAGCACAGCCTCTGTGAGCATCTGTGGATGTGAACAAAGCAGTTCCGTTATGAGCTTTTCCCTTATCTGGTTGATCTATAATTTCATGGCTTCTTCTCCCACACATCCCGAAATCAATCAACGTAAGTCGATCCAAACGATTTGGATATGGCTTTGAGAACATCAAATTCTCGGCTTTTAGATCAGCATGTACAATATCCTACAACATAAATCAATATATAATAAGATACTATACATGATCTCTTATGGACAAATTGCCGTAATCTAAAAATGAAAAACAACAATAAAAAGGCTCACCTTTGAATGCAAATAGTCGTAGGCATCACACACAGTCGGTACGATCTCCTTACATTCATCCACATCCAGAACTTTCCCCGACTTTTTGTTGATGTATTCTTGAAGAGATCCTGTGTACAATGGCATAGCAACAAAACGAAGCTCCGTTCCTTTGTGAGTAAAGACTCCCCACGCCACAAAATGAGGCAATCCAAGGAATTGAAGACCTAAAATTGAATTAAAAACATGATTCTTATCCCTACGCTTCTGTTTCTTGTATTCATTCAGGTCCTTCTCACTCAAAAACGATCGGAAGATCTGGAATTCGACGAAGAGTCCACCGGAGCCATTCTGCTCAACTTTTATTGCGACATCTTCTTTTGTGTCCTGAAAACTTATATTATTCTTGACATCAGATGGAAAAGATAAAGAAATCCTGCTTTGACGCGTCGAACAGATCTCTAAATAAAAAGAACCGCAAAAACAGCAAGATTACCTTTGTTTTCCCGGAATAGATCCGTCCAAACCCTCCTTTTCCAATCTCTTTGGTGATAACAAGCGGCGAATATATTTTACATGGGATCTCAGTCTTTGGCGGAAGTGAATCATGCAATTTCCTTGCGGCTGGACCTCGTTTTGGTGGCATTGCGGTCCAGAAAAGGCTCGCTGATCCACGAAAGACGGGTTTCGCAAAAGGAAAAACATTTTTGGCGGGAGCTGCGCTTGAGACGAAGTGCCACCATTGACTTATTGGAAAAATAAAGAAATTATGGTTTACTTTGAAAATCAGTGTAAGTTATATTAATTCTGGTATTAAATTCGCGATAAAATATATTTTATCATTATTTTTATATCCGGAGGCTCTAGTTCACACATAATTTTGAATAAAAATTCAAAAATAATATTATACATACATGTAGAAGTTTTGGACTTTCAAAGAACTTTATTCACTGATAAGACAAAAGTTCTTTTGACATTCATGATTCCATACAAAATTAGTTAACACTGTTTGGTCTAATTTTCAAGTACTCTTGTAATTGCGGCAATTTTTCGATTCTCTCCACAAATTCATAAACTTTCGGGAATTGCTTGGCCAATTCTGGATCAACATTTCTCAGAGTCAAGGCATGACTGTATACAACAAAATCAGCGTAGGTTAGGCCAGATTTTAGGAGGTATCCATTACCAGCTTCGTCCAGCATTTTACTGTAATATGTCAAGTGTTTTGTGGCCGCTGGTACGAACGCTTTGTAAGCGGCGTCCTGAAAAAAAATATTTTTGATTGTATGCCCCAGATTTACTTTAAAAAATTGAATTTACTTACAATATCAGCTGCTTTGAAGATGCCAGCCTTATCCCAAATATAGGGCCCAGCATCCTTGGTTAGGGCGTCAATGAAGTAATGGAAAGTCTCATCGGCTTTGGCCTCTTCCCAGCTGTCTTTTCCGGTCAGCCCGGTGAGTCTAGATACGTATCGAAGAATGGCGCCAGACTGGGTGAGCATCTTGCCGTCCACTTCGAAAAGCGGCACGGTTCCATTGGGAGTCTCTGAAATTGAAAACGATGGGCCTTTGGACGCTGATCTTCGAGCACGAAGTAAGCAAGGCTGCAAACCGGGCCAGCCCGGCCCGGGCCCCAGGCCCGGGCTTAAATCTCCAAGCCCGGCCCGGGCTTGGAAAATTTGGAAAGTCCGGCCCGGTTCGGCCCGGAAAATTTTTATACTCTGCTGGAAAGAAAGAAAGCCGACATGAAAGGAAAATTATTACAAATTTTTGCAAAATGTAAGGAAAAATTTAGCAAAACCTAGGTACATAAGATCACTTTACGTTTGCTATCAGCATTGTGTTTGAAAAAATGAAAAATTATATCGAAAAAGCTTGTTCTTTCCTTTTTTTCAGGGCAAAACTAAGATTTCAAAAAAACCAGGCCGGTCCGGGCCGGGCCAGGCCTAAAAATCAAAGCCCGGAGGCGGGCCGAGAAATCAGCCGGCCCGGGCCGAAAAATTTTGCAAAGCCCGGCCCGGAGCCATGCCTAGGACGAAGAGCAAAAGCATGAATTGAAGTGGTCAGATTTTCTTAACATTTTTTGTGCGCGACTTTCTCAGGCCGCAATTACCAATCAATGTTTTGACTCATATGGTAGTTCTATTCGAAAAATTTCCACCATACCTCAATAGATCGAAATTTGACTTACTTGGCTTCAGCTCCGCCCATTCACCCTTTAGAACTCTTCTGTCTTCAAACTCGATTCCACCATAATGCAAGCAGCACCGAATGGCTTCGGCCAATCCTCGGAGGTTGAAATATGTTAACTTATATTGTGGCATACTCGATCAATCGAAGCTATGAGAAAAGATTAGTATTTTTATAAAGTGCATGGACTTTTTTTCGCTCCGCAACAGTGCATGTTAAAATTTTGCCTACGTTTTCGCCAATATTCCGCGTCCGCACCGTGGAAACACCAAACAAAAGGCGTCTGTACTGTGCAAGTTCCTGGAGCGACGTATTTAAAACTTGCTTACCAGCCATCGACTGAATGCTTATTATTCCGCTGCACAGTGCAACAAAAACAAAAAAAAGAAAGAAATGCATGGTGCGAGATGAGGTTTTTTGTTCACGTTGCAGACCGCGGAAAACGTCCATCCACTTTATGAAAATACTAAAATTCTTTGCACTTCTTTTTGAAGACCAATAATCAACCCCCAAAAACGTGCGAATAAATGCGCGACCACGCTTCCCGCCCTTTTTATCTCGCTTGGAATACCAAAGGAAATGCCCTCTTCTGACATAAAATACAAAAAAATTGTATCTTCGCCACAAATCAGAACTTTTTTTGCGACCTGTCTGGCGTATTAACCTCCGAGATCAGAATTCGGAGTGCAAGGTCGTGTAGGAAACATTGGGTTTAATTGATTTCAATGTTTTATGTTTAAAAATCGAGAACTGAAGCGAAAGAGCAGGAAAGATCAACTTTTAATGCAGAAGTTGTCGGGGTTTTCAGGTTCACATCATTGGTTTATATTGACTAAGACGATCGTTGGTTGATGAGATAAACTTTGTTAGTAAATGCATAATTATTTAATTTAGGTTAGTCGCAAAACCAAATACTTTTGCAACTGCGGTATCTTCTCTATCCCCTAAATTCATAGAACTCTTCAAGATTTCGCTGCCAATTCTGGATCATACTTTCTCAATCTCAATCAGAGATTGCCACGGCTCCGGCGCCGGCTCTTGGCTCCGGCTCCGAGTCGGGAGCCAGAGCCGTAAATTTTGGGTCCCGGAATTTTAGACGGGAGCCGGAGCTGCAAATTTTGCCGTGGCAATCTCTGATCTCAATGCGTGAAAATATATGTACAAAAAAGTCAGGTTCAAATGGCAGGCTCAGCCAAACTGCGAATATTCGAATAATTTAACTTGTAGTGGACCGTTTTGGATGAGGAAAGAGGGAAAAACGCATTTCTTTCCAGTCTGCTAATGCCCTGCTGACCCTCTAAAACTAACGTGGGGTTTTCATTGGGGCATTATGTATACTAGGAAGCATAATCATGGCGGGAAATTTTCAGTCGACACGGTCGTTTACGAAAATAGACAAATACAGTTTTTAAGTCATCTTGAATTGAAATTCTTTCGATAAGCTGTAAATAGAGACAATGAGTATAGTACATTTATTTTGCAACAAAACTTATTCAACAAGCACATTTTAGTTTAGAGTATCCGGTCTTTCCTTAAGATACTTTTGCAACTGTGGCAACTTCTCAATCCTCTGCACAAACTCATAAACTTTTGGGAATTTCTTCGCCAATTCTGGATCAACATTTCTCAGAGTCAAGGAATGGCTGTAAACAACAAAATCGGCGTAGGTTAGCCCGGATTTCAGCAAGTACCCGTTCCGAGCTTCCTCCAGCATCTTTGTGTAGTTATCCAAATTTTTGGTGGCCACTTTGACAAATACGTCATAAAATGCTTTCTAAATAATCTTTGTAATAAAAAATATACAATAAATTAACCCACAATATCGGCAGATTTGAGGATTCCGGCTTTGTCATAAATGTAACCGCCGGCAGAGGTTACATGAGTGCTGTCAACAAAGTAATGGTAAGTTTCATCGGCTTTCGCTTCCTCCCAGCTGTCTTTTCCAACTAGTCCGGTCAGTCTGGCCACGTAGCGGAGAATGGCACCAGATTGGGTCAAAATCTTCCCATCGACTTCAAATACTGGGACAACTCCATGCGGGGTGGCTGAAAAAGAGAGAAGCGATATTGACAGACCAGTGTTCGTGGATTCAATGCTCGAAGTTTCTCAGTTTTTTTATAACGAAGCCATTAGCCCTAAAGGGACAGATGAGATCTACAGACGAAAAAAATTTATTTTTTGTGGAAACATTGCCCTCTACGGTAAAAATAGGCATGAAAAAGGGCCTTACATTTTGAGCTCTCCCACAAATTGTAGGCAAGAGAAAAGAATTCGCTTACTTGGTTTTATTGCTGGCCATTGTTCAGCTGTAAATTTGTAGTCCTCAAATTCAATTCCTCCGTAATGCAAGCACAATCTAATCGGTTCAGCATAGGCGCGGCAATCAAAGTAGGTAAGTTTGTATTCAGGCATGTCCACCAAAGCTTCAACAATAAATATTTGACCGCACAAACTTGCAGCTGCTCAATAAAAACCCAAAATCCCTTGTTTATATTCTCCACGTTTTTGATCTCTATGCGCAACAAGGCTGGAATTACAGGGTGCGGCAAAAAAATGGAAACTTTTTTCATTGGGTCCTGACGCAAAAATTTTTAAGTGCAGCAAAATTATTTCCATACCATTAAATTCTACATAGTTTTCTCTCCTAGACCTTATAATTTCATGTCCATATCGGTTTACTAACATTCTTTTTTTGAATGACAAACAGAGGGACCTCGATTTCGGACCTGTTTTTTACCTGTGCGAATTGGTAATTTGCCCGGCATAGAAAGCACGTTGTGTCCAAAGTAATCGCACAATGCAAGGAGCTTTTCGACAATTTCAAGCATCCAGTAAGCGAAAGAAAACGCATCGCCAACACTTCTGCCAGCCGCGGGGTCATCAACAGCGAAATCCGTCGATTTCCAGAAAAAATTGCCCGTGAGACCGGCATCAGCGACCGACCAGTCGGCCAAATAGCTAAAAATCAACTCAAGGTCTCCGCACGCAAGGTCTAAAATGCCCAACTCCTAATCGGCAAGATCAAGCCCGTACACCTAAAAAAATGCCGAAAATTCAGACGTCGGGCCGCAGGTCCGCGATGGGAGCGTATTTCCTTCGCGGTGCAAAGTTTGGCGGGTGCCTAACCAACATAGCGCCAGAATCCGATCCGGTGAGGCCCTCTGCACGTGGGCTAACGATGAACACCGTCAAAATCCGGGCCGTCATCGCCTAAGGCGGAATTTGTGCCAGCGGCAAGAATTCCGAGATTTTCGTGGATCAAGAGGGCAAAATTCTAGTGCCGGGTTAACCTGGATTTCCTCATGCTTCTGTTGACTCAGTAGAACCTTGGCAGCTCAAATTTGGCATTCCAACTACACTCAGCGCCGACTCACAGGGCAACAGCGAGTCAAGCCCGATTTTGAGACCGACTTTCCCGATTTCACCCCGTCTGTAAAAAGAGCGCCTGCTCGCCGGGTATAGATCCAATGTACTGTAATTTTTTTTTCAATTGGAGGCTATCATCTGTACTACACGCCACAAAAATTTGGCGTCGCAAAGTAATCGCTGCGTCAAGGACGGGACGGATTTCCCTGAAAAAAGCTGCGGCCAAAAGGCCAAAATTTTAAGTCACGTTTGGAGCTCTATATCGCCACCAAAAGCAGCCACGGTAAAACGGGTTGAATATGTTATAAACAATGCTCTATGTTATTGAGGATGACCGTTACTTTTGCGGAATTTGGATTGCCAGGAAAAATATAGCTATAAAAATAAGTTTCCATTTTTTTGCCGCACCCTGTAAAAGTTCTGTACAGCACAGACTCCCCGCATAGTTTGTAGTTGGACCAGCTTTCTGTCGCGTTTTTAAAGCAGAGATTTTGCGGGAATGCTGAAACCACAAGTCTGTCAATGGTTGGAACAGCAAGACGGTCTCTGCTCTCGAAATTTCTCCGCGTATTTCGTTTCCAGTGTTTATGAGACCACCCAAGACTACATGCAAGGTCACAGAACAAATCTTGTCAAAAAACCACTTTTTATGTATTAAAAATCAAACCGCAATCAAATAAGAGTATCAGGTCTAACTTTGAGATACTTTTGTAATTGCGGCAGCTTCTCGATTCTCTCCACAAATTCGTAAACTTTCGGGTAATTCTTCGCCAATTCCGGATCAACATTTCGCACTGTCAACGCATGGGTGTAGACTGCAAAGTCAGCGTACGTTAAGCCAGATGGCAATATAAATCCGTTTCCTGCTTCCTCCAACATCTTCGTGTAGTACTGCAAATTCCTGTTGGCGACTGGGACAAAAACCTTGTAGGCTGCCTCCTAAATAATGCATTCAATAAAAATGGTATTGATGGCAACTTACGGGATCGGGAGACTTGACAACCCCGGCCTTGTCGTAAATATAACCGCCAGCGGAGGTGATACTAACTCCATCCACGAAATACTGGAATGTTTCGTCGGCTTTGGCTTCCTCCCAACTATCTTTTCCTGTTAGTCCAGAAAGTCGCGCTACGAAGCGGAGAATGGATCCAGATTGGGTGAGCATTTTTCCATCGACCTCGAAAAGTGGAAGAAGTCCATGAGGAGTCGCTGAAATGGAGGAATTGTTGACTCTACAAGGTTGTCAAAAGAATTATGTTCTTTATCAAACTTTTTTGGATCTAAATTCGTGTGGTCTCAGAAAGCCGCAAGCGCAGCTTTAAATGACGTTTTTTTTTAAATCCGTTGGCAAAAAACGTACCATTTTGCATTCGGGAAGCATCAAAAATGTGGCAAAATGCCTCCTTCCCTTTCCCTCACAAAAAGATCGTAAGCGCCCTTAAAAACGGAGTTTTTTCACTTGGGGAGGGACGCATTTTGCCACATTTTCGATACTTTCCGGATGCAAAATTGTACGTTTTTTGCCGCTGGATCAGGTCTCCCACTCTAGCTAATACTATAACGACTTACTTGGCTTGATCTCCGGCCAATCAGCATGGCTAATTCTTTTATCCTCAAACTCAACCCCTGCGTAATGCAAGCAGCATCTGATGGGCTCACAAAGAGCTCGAGTATTAAAGTAAGTCAGCTTATATTCAGGCATTGTAATCGGAGTAGGTTTTCAAAGCGAACTCAAATGTGATATTACTTCGACTAGACACCTGTCTTTATATATACCTTTCCGCACCCATTGTGCGCGAGTGTGACATTCACAAACTTGAAACACATTGTGCGCTGTCTACCAATTCGAGTATAGTTTGTAGTGAACTCAAAGGAATGCAGTCGGATGATGATTTTTCATTTATAAAGTTGAGCTCTTGCGCGGAGGTCAGAAATCAAGAGGACTTTTTCAAAGGGGTAACATTTCATTTGTCAACCTTTTTGGTGGGTTAAAAGGTACGTACGTCGGGGGTAATAAACATTTCCAATTTTCGATATTCAACTGTACACGAAGGTACAAAACAACGTTCAATCCAAAAAGTATGTATATTACGTTGACATGTTTGTGTAGAGGCTCCAAATGATCGAAAATTTCTTTAATGGGATTAAAATAATAGAAAAAAAATTAAGAAAAGAATTAAAAAAAAGTCGCTGGAGAATCTATGAAAGATCAGGCCAGCGATGAAAAAAGAATTGCTGATCAAGGGACATGGGATACGGGGGCCAGAAAGAAACGAAAGCGCGGCCGAAGGAGGTGCGGCGATGAAAGCCCCGTCCTTCTTGACCCTTCTGTATAAAAGACAAGAAGAAGGCGCCAGCCTGATCTATCCGGCGATTTTTCACTTCAGTTGCCAGCCATTGCAAGGCCAAGAAGCCGTTTTCGTGTGCACTTTGCTTGGGGAATTTGTGGGAATTTAATCCTTGATCCACCGTGGAATCGGGCGCCGTGCAGTTTAGAGCCTCTCACCTCTCACTTTTGCATGATTTTTCGCGCTACACTTTCTTAGTGGGACAGGCCCAAGATTTCGTCCCCGGCCGTCCTCTTGGGTGAACGTCCAAGCTGGTCACATCAACAGCGTGAAGGTGGCTTTTGCGGCCGCTAAGGCCAAACACGGGTCCTTGCGTGAATTCCACCTCCTCCAACATGGCGTAAAAACGAACTCAGCGGTCTCCATTATCGTCGATCAGGTTGGGTCCGGATATCATCCCACAGGTCAGGTAGGAAGCGGCCATCAGCGCCGCAGCATCCGACGATGCCGGATTCCTGTAGACCCGATCTCAAAGCTCGTAAAGTTTGTGAAGCAGAACAACCTCTTTCTCACCGAAGACCGACTCACGATACACAGATTTGCTACGCAACCGGTGCAAAAGCTCGGCGCAGGGGCCTTTTTTTCGGCCACACGGCAGCCGGTGAGCGGCTTATGATGGCTGGAGATCCCAAGCAGATAATACCAACTCTGACGACACACTGACGCACCTCGTATATTCCTTATCCGATAAATTTCATTGCCAAAAAAATCCAAGCCATTTTGAAATTTTTTATTTTTTAAGATTAGAATCTGAAGAATATTCAAAATACAATGTAATAAACTTGTGACATAGCCTTAAGCCCTCGGGAGATGTCGTTGCAACGCCTCTATATCGTAATTATTTACAGCAGCCATTAAATTTGAGTCCGTGTTTTCCATTCGAATCAACGCCGACCTGAGTGTAGACCAAATCGGGGAATTCTCATTGGCCTTTTGAAGCTTCAACGCGTTAACAAAGTGGTCCACGGCTTCGCTAAAAAATATATTTCACGATTTTTTTAATGGAAAATTTTATGTTTTTTGTCTTATTCGATGCCTAGTGTAATATAAAAGGTGTTCTGTAAATCTTTACCGATAGCAATTTAGATGCATACAAGAGATTCCTAGATTATATCGGGCTCGAACGTAGGCTGGAAACAGCTGCAGTGCGTGCCTGTAGGCTTCAATAGCTTCGGCGGTCCGATCTGAGTTCGCCAAAGTAGCTCCAAGTCGATTCCAAAGTCTGGGATCGTCCGGCGAACGGGCAATTGCGGTCTTAATTGAGTCCACAGCTCTGTCGAAGGTCCCATTTAGATTATACAGTACCCCAAGGGCATTTTGAAGCTCCGGGTCGGCATTGGTCTGGGCGCGAGCTGCCTCCAGAAAGCCATTTTCGATTTGTTGGAAGCGGAGAGGGTCAATGAAAGCTCCGTAGAATCCGAGGCGGGTCTTTTCGTTGGCCTAAAAACGTTTGAATTTATTAAATTTGATTTTTTTTGTCATCAAATTGCCTAGTATAACACTGCGTATATTTAAATATTTTTTTTTGGATTTTAAATTCACTTTTTTCCATACCTTGTTTATGAGATCAGGACGATAAGATAAAGCTAATGGGTCCAGAAAAACCCCGTTTGAGCTGCTAGGCATCTAAAACAACACAAAATAAGCCGCTTTCGCAAAAATTTCCAATTTTTTTGGGCAAATTTCGATGCAGAATTATTTTAAAGCTTCTCTAAATCAACGAAGAAAAGTTTAAAACCTGATTTTATGACAAACAAGTCTTTTTGAGACAATGATGAAACATTTTTGACAAGTCTAATTTTACCTAGTACAATATAAAATTTTTGAGTTTTTTTACAAAATTACAGAGAGAAATGTATAAAGCAGCAACGCATATATTGCAATGGACCAATAAAAAGTTATTTCGGTTATTTCCAGCGGCAAATTAAGAGTAAAATTGGGCCTCAAAATACCAAAAATTTTTTTTAAATCCTACGATTTTTAGCCCAAGAAAGTCATCAAAAGCAACTTTAAATCGTTTTCAAATCTCTAATCATCACTTACCGTCTCCGGTTTGACGACTCCTTTATACGAATCGAGCCATCTTTCCAGTTGCGTCAACGCCTCATTACTGTAGTTCTCATTGGCCAAGCTGACCGAAAATCCCAGCAACGCCTCTCTCATTTGCGGATCCACTTCCAAGGCCTTCTTGAAAGCCGACATGGCCGCGATGTCGTGTTCGTTTTCGGCGTGACAAAACCCAAGTTTGCACCACGCTTCCGCATCGCGCGGGTTCTTTTGGACCTGCGCTTCGTAGAGCAATATCGCCTCCTGAGTGTTGCCATTCCGCATCTCCGTGGAGCCTTGAGCCATCAGGTCAATGTCCGAGTTTGCATATTGATTAGTCTGAAATCGGAGAAATATGAATATCAAAAAATGTTGATATTACCTAAAGTAATATCATGTCTAAAGTAATATCAGATTACTCTTTTATTGATGTTCTAGCACTCCTAAAAGCAGCAAAATTAATTTTTGTCGTCATCTGAAGAAAAAAAAGTCATCAAAAATTTTGATTTTGTTTCCAGAAAATGCGTCATCGGTCAGTGAAAAAATGTTATTGCCGAAGTGAAACTCACTCAAAACTTTGCAAAAATGTTGACTACACCTCACATTATGCATATTCAAGAAATTACTATCAATTACTTGTTTAAAAAATAAGTCACGATGACGGATTTTCTGGATTTTTAAAATTTTCCACCCTAAAATAGGATTTTTTGGCTGATAAAATTTTTTTGGCTCCAATGACACTAATTTACCTCTGCAAACTGATATTCCATGGGGTATTCGGACATCTCTTCCACTCCACTCCATTCATCCATGCCGGCGTGGAAGATTTTGTCGAATTCCGCGTCTAAAGTTGCTTGATCAAGGGTGGGGACTTCTTGATTTCCCACTTTCTCGGCAAACTCTTTCGCCCATTCGTCGCCAAGGGTCTCACTGGAAAAAATTTGTAAAAAATTATATTCATCATGATAACACTGGCCAACGAGGGAATTTTTTCGTAGTATGTTGCTCAAATTTCTTTTGAGCAAATTTCGTTTGTATGGTCCATCTGGTCCACATAATATGTATTGCTTGTTGAAATTTCGAGTCGCATCTTGCAAATTTTTGAAAAAAATTTTTTTTGATGACTAAGCCATCATCAGCCCTCATTTTCTCCCCAAAAATCGCCTCTTACCCCTGCTGAACTTGTGCCCATGCCGCCTCAAGCCCTCCCGGTTGCTGATGACTGTTGTCGATCCACTGATCGAACTCCTTCGACCACTGCTCATGCATTTGTTGCGGCGGTAGTCTCGAGACTTGCTGAAATTCCTCGGCCCATTTATTCGGCAGTTCATTGGCCAGCGGGTTCATGTTGAAAGCGTTCCGCTGGCGAAACTCGACGGCCCATTTGTCGACCATTTGTTGTTGGGGGGTTTGTCGATGGGTTTGCGAGAATTCGTCGGCCCATCGCGAGGAATTGGGTTGATTTAGGAGCTGGCGGACATTGATCGAATTTGGCTGGGGCTGCGCTTGGCCCACACGGGAGAGGTATTCTTGTGCGAACTGGAAATAAATACTAGTGAATGGAGCCTTGTAGACTAATTCAGATGCAAAAAAATTATGACATCAAAAAATTACAGTAATTTTAGCAAAACCCCCAATTTTTTTATACTTTTTCAAAAAAAACTTATTTTTTCAATTTCAAGAGTAAAAATCCAGTTCCAATTTTGAATCTTATGCTATTCTAATTCATCTAAACTCTATTCCAACCCATTTAACCATACAACTCGCCCAAAATCCCCAATTTCTCTTTGAAATCAAAAATTTCCTCCAAAAATCACAAATCCTCTAAACTTTCGAAAAATTTCAAAAATCCCAAAAATTTACTTGATCGCCCTTCGATCCACTGGGTCCAAGTTGCTCAATCTGCCTTTCCACACCCGACCGAAGCTGCGCATTCGACGTTCCATACGTTCGGGCCAAGTTCTGGGCCGCATTTGTGGGCGCGCAAGAGTCGTTGATTTTGTTCGCCATTCCTAAAAAAAACTTAAAATTTCGAGCCCTGAAGTGTTTATGGAGCGAATTCATGATGAGCAATCGATAAAACAGCGAAGAATGCGAAGACTTTTTGCTTAATTTTACTTTCCGCAGTCATTATTACAACCAAAAAATGGTATAAAGTAAAGGCTAAATTTTCGAAAAAATCGATTTTGAGATAAAAAAATTCATTTGTAAATAGCAAATAGTCACACTGAGAACCCTAAAAACCACTTCGGCATGATCTAGAAGGTGTATTTTACCAATAATTTCCCCGAAAAAGTCAACGCGGTCTTTCGAAAACAGAAAAATCGAAAGAAACCCCCAGAAACCCGCAATTTCAGCCCACACTTTCCGTAGTTTGTGAGGTGAGGAAGCGAGCAGTGCTCTTCGAATGGTGATAACAGAAAAACTCACAAGCGGAAACTTCAGTAATTACAATTTCGACGTCTGCTGATTACGAAAAACAAGCAAAAAATTGAAAAAAATTCGAATTTTTCGATTTTTTTACTTTTTCAATCATCTTCCAAATGTTCGACTCGACTGTATCCTGATATGAAATATCATTTACACTCCGTTTTATCGTATTTAAACCTCAAAACACATTATAAAACTAAATAAAAAATTACGGAAAAATATGTATAATAAAAACGGACAAAAGCCTCCAAGAAACAATAAAATACGCAATAATCATCAAATTAATGTAACAAATAATAATCGGCAATACTCTGCGCACCTTTCAAATACCATAAAACCTTTAATTTTATTTGATTTTAAAAATAAAACCCAAAAATTATACAAAATTTACAAAAAAAAATTAATGTACAAGTAGTTGCAACTGTAAATAATCTACTATTTCATACACTCGTTAGTCTATTGCTGGTCTAATTAAAATGCTAAAAATTATTTAAAAATGATTGGAAAATTAAAAAATTACAACAATATAAAAACTGCTAAAAAATAAATTCACACCTAAAATCCTAATGATTAATGCTCAATCTATACAAATCTGAGGTTCTTCTTCTTTCTGATGGGGGTTAGTAATGACAACAGAAGGGATTGTTTGTAATTACTGAGGTCTTCTTCAGATGGTACAGCATCGGAGGCCTCAGCCAGGTCAAAAATATCATTCTTTTCTGGTTTCAGAGCGCTGTTGAAGTATAGATTCAAGACGAATAGCTGACAGATCACCATAAAGTTGCATATGACTGAAAAAAATAAAAAAATAATTTTCTGAGGTCAAAAAATCAATTTGCCGCCAGCAGGGGTCGAACCTGCGACCTTGGGCTTATTAGACCCACGCTCTAACCGACTGAGCTATGGCGGCACATGCTTCGGCCCTTCCGGAAAAGGGTCTGATCGGAAAAGGGAGGGAAAGGAAGGAGTTTTGGGAAAATTTCGGACAAAACCAAACATAGCCTTAGGAAATTTGACAAAAAGTAGTCAAAATAATTAAAATCAAACATCCCCTTACATTCTTTGACCACAAACAGGACTTTTTTCGTATTAAAAAAATCTTAATTTAATTTCTTGGAAAAAATATAGAAATTGTAAAAAAAATCAAACTCACATCTCGCTGATTCCGGAATCGACAACACTGGACCACATCGAATCAAATTCAGCCGCAAAAATACATTTTGAAAAAGCAGTGGATACTGTGCGGAGAAGGAGAAAAGAGCCAGAGAGATTGCTCGGATTATTGTCACCACCTGATACGACTGGATTTCGTGCTGAAAAATCCATAATTTAACTCAAAAACACTAAAAAACGCTCAATTCACATATTAAATATTGTGAATTGAGCGTAAACTCACCACAACCAGCCTTGTGAAGGTGTGAGATCCAAAGACCACCGAGAACGTGGAAAGTAAAGCGACCATCTCGCAGTATTGGATGATGATATTCGCTTCTCGGCCCAATTCGATTGTCAAACAAACTTCGAAGAAAAATACAAAAGATCGGATCAACGGGCCTTGCAAAACCAACAGTTTGATGATCTGGATTCGTTGACTGAAACAATAAAATTTACATATAAAAAGGCCAATAGACCTGTAGATTCTGATTTACCGTTATTACAAACAAAACAAATAACCTGAGATTCTTTTTTAAATCGATCAAAAATAATACAATTTGCCGCCAGCAGGGGTCGAACCTGCGACCTTGGGCTTATTAGACCCACGCTCTAACCGACTGAGCTATGGCGGCGCTGTCAGTCTCGTTTTTGTATCACTTCAAAAACCTTGGCCCATAAAAGGTCCAGTAGATCATATTGTTCATCAATCGTTTCCTAAATATCAAAACAAAATTGAAATCTTACGTTGTAACCTTCGGTTCGGGCATGCAGGGGATCAAACAGCAGATTGGCGGCACCCTCATGTTTATCCGTTTCCCTCGTTCGTTCAATCTCGCCTTTACTCCGCAAAGTTGACTGTCGTTCGGATTTCGCCGGACCAGGTTCATAACCAATGTGATGTAGATGTAAAACACGACCAAGAAGTAGAAGAGCCCACAAGAAGTAGAAAGTGCGGCAGCTCGCGGAGAGATCATCCCGACAAGACAAAAGGACATCGACACCTAAAAATCACACCACTGATCGTTTTTGACGAGAAAAATTCGAAAATTATGATCTCGCTCAGCATGCGCAATATAAAAAATTGTATTTTCTTTGGTAGAAACATGCCTAAATTAAAAAAAAAACAAAGAAGGACTTACTGGAAACAAAGAAATGAGAAAATACAGTTTGCTTCGCCTTTTGGATTTGGAAACATTGGCCTGAACCATTAGACATTGAACAAACGCGTAACCCGTCACTGTCATTGTCAACAGGGTTGCGCAAATCAATAAAACACCTTGGTAATAGTCCAGATCTGCAAGAGAAAACATTATTCGTAAAAATATAGTGATAAAGCAACATTTTATATTATATTAGGTAGCAAAACAAAACAATTTATAAAACAATAACGAGCAATTGAAAATCTGCAAAATATCTCACACAACCTCTGTTACAATACATTCTTGCTAATGAAACAATAATTAAGCAGAAATCGTTCGAATTCAGCTCACAAATTGATTTTCGATGTTGCACTAGGTAACAATCAAATCATTTGCGAAAAAAACCTCAAGTCATTTGCTAAACCTCTAAAAACAGTCAAAAAAGCTGAAGCACTCACTTCTTAAAAATTTCACAGCAGTCGGCCCTCTGATTGTCCCATTTTGGCATTTTCTGATAGCTTCTGAATCCAGTGGAATGTGTTTCAAAACCTCGAATGTGCTGTTCAAAACCTCATGGAACTCCCACATCTCGGATGGAGCCTAAATAAAAATAATAAACTAACTGTATCAGAGAAAAAATATTCAAGGAAAAATTTTGTTGGCCATGAATAACATCGTATAGGTGGAAATTTTCGAGGAAAATGAAAAGTTTAAAATTAAAAACCAAGTAAAAATAATAAATTTAGGTGTCATTTCACCTTTCAATGGTAAATTTACTCTCAAGTGTGCCAAAAATTTTGGGAGAAAAACCGCGGAAAAAGAAAGGATCGAGAAATGCGTCAGGATTACCGAATTTACGGAAATGACGGATTTACTGGAAGATCTGGACCTAATGGACGGTAAATAGTCGGCATGTTCTTTATAAAGAAGACTTTCAATGAAACTTGTGCATAACAGATTAAAACGACAAAAAAATCTAGTATAATATCCGACAACATCAAATTTCCGCAACCCTTCGAAGTATTAACCAAAATTACGTCATCCATGTCCATTATAATGCATTACGACCATTTTGTTTCGCGACATTTGAGTAAACAGCGAGGCGATTCCCTCGAAAAAGTAACGCTTCATCAATATCCCATGAAGAAGAAGATAAAAAAAAACTCGACGTTCCTAACTTTATTTGGAGAGTAAACCTAAATCTTGAGGCCAATCGACTTATAAAAGAGTGCAGGAATCATTTTGGTGTCACTATTGTTCAATGAAAAATCTTGCGTCATCGTTTCTTTGTGTGATTGCGCTCATTTTTGTAGAGGCCATTGAATTGTGAGGAGGAAGTTTGTAGGAAAGGTCCTTATAAAGGTTGTGAAATACAATACAAAAAAAATGAAGTGCAAACAGTCGGGATCAGGTCAGACCTGATCAAGAAGGGGACATTTCCTAATGAGGCGGGCCGAAATATTTTGCATCTTTTGCACGGTGCGCCGCAAAAATCCTGCCGCACGACTACGAGCAGAATGCACGGTGCATTGCGACCCCGCATTGTGCGAAACGAATGCTTCTGAAGAGGATTGAAACCGCACAGTGCGTTTTTCATACGCACTGTGCTGAGTTTTTGTCGCGTAAACACACTTACAATTAGCAACGCCGACCGCACCGTGCAAAAACAAGAATCAAGACATTTTGGCCCGCCTGGTATGCACAGTATAAAAATAAAAGAGAAAACGTCCTCATAACGCACCGACCATTTACTTGGAAATTTCAATTTGAAAAAGGTCATAAACCAAAATTTTTTTAAAGAAGTCTCTGCAACCTTCTCAACGACCTTTTCAAACTCCCCTTATAAAGTTTCACTAACTAAGTTAGCTGCATCCGCAAACTTTTTTCGACTTACCTTACGTTAATTAAATTACGATTTGAACTCATCACCGATTATTCGTCGTAATTTTTTACACGAAGGACGCACGCTGTTGTTGAAACTGTGCGGGCTACATGATGAACCCTTGATGAAGTTCGGGGTTTTTCAGAAAAAAAGCTATTTAGTTCATGACCTAGGATGTATATCCAAAAGCCTCTGAAAATAAACCTATATAATAGTTGGTCTAGACATTTTTGATACTCGAGTTAGGTGAGGTCACAACCAGAGATTGCCACGGCTCCGGAGCCGGCTCTTGGCTCCGGCTCCGAGCGGCTCCGGCTCCGAGCCGGGAGCCAGAGCCGGAGCCGGAAATTTTGGGGTCGGCTCCGGCTCCCGAGCCCAAAGTCGGAGCCAGGCTTCCCAGCGGTCAGAAAAGTAAAAATTTCGTGATCTTGTTAAACCAAATTGCTTGAAAAACACTGCGGAGGATGTGACTTGACTGCAAAAACGTTGGCTGTATGATCTCTGGCACTAATAACTTTTATTTTTGGAAAAACATTTTTAAAAAACGTTTTGCATGGGAGCCGGGAATCGGAGCCGGAGGACTTTTTAAATTTTGCACGGAGCCAAGAGCCGGAGCCGGAGCTGCAAATTTGGCCTCGGCTCCGGCTCTGGGAGCTAAGAGCCGGAGCCGGAGCCAAAATTTTGACCGTGGCAATCTCTGGTCACAACCATCCTCACGGTGGTCTTGATCTAGGTCGTGGGCTTGGTGTCGACCTGAACTACAGTGGGGGACCTGATCCAGTGGCAAAAAACGTACCATTTTGCATCCGAAAAGGATCAAAAATGTGGCAAAATGCCTCCCTCTCCAAGTGAAAAAACTTCGTTTTGAAGGGCGCGCCCTTTCCCTCAAAAAAGCGGGTTGGCTTTTGAAATCGGGGTTTTTTTCACTTGGAGAGGGAGGTATTATGCTAAATTTTTTGATGCTTCCCGGATGCAAAATGATACGTTTTTTGCCATTGGATCAGGTTCCCCACTGTACAGAACATGACTTGACCATCCAAGTCAACCGTCGGGACAATTTTATGGTAGTCTTGGACAACCAACTTTGAGTTGATCACGACCCAGTAGGCCGCGTGCTTGGTCGGCGTAGACTCCGTTTTACCAAAAATATTGGCTTTACGCAATTAAAAGCGGTTTGCTAAAGGATCCATTTGCTTAATTTTGGTAAGTGTTTTTTAACTGTTTTCCACATTTCAGAGGTCAAACTTGAAGACAAAGTTTTGTTATATTGTACTGGTCCAGGTGAACCCGCTGAACCTTTTTTATTTTTTTTATTTATTCATTGAGATAAATGCTTATTTTTTGCACGCTGCACCGTGCAAATTTGAAATGACGCATCCTTATATAAGTCATCTAAAACGATTCATTAAAAATTGCATAAGAACGAATAATGGCTTATAAAAAATGATTTCACTAGCCAGGGGTCTGCGAAAAATTTAGCCAAAATTTCAAAGCTTTCGGGTTACTGTATCATCAATGAGTTTTTGGAGATTCCAAAAGTCCGAAATTACCCTTTTGACATTTCAATTGTCAATATTTCCCCATTCCATTTTAAGTTTGAAAGGTAATCATTTGCTTCCACAAGCTGAATTGTCAAAATAATGGGATTTTGAATTGGAACCGACCGTTTTTATATAATAGTTTTGTACAATACTAATCGTCGAGCAGCGCTATATAAGAAAGAGATCGACAGCCTTGTAGGCATTGATCTTATGTGTGAGTTGTTTCAAGGATGCGCTTTCGTGACGATTAGGTAGATAAAATCACGCTTTGGAGATTTTAGAGTTTCAGAGATCATCTTTGACCCACCAGCTTTTGTAATTCCTTCGTTATTTTTTCGATATTCCATAGTCGCTCTTATGTGAAGATTGCTGAATTTTTTCGCTTTTATCTGCAAAGTGAGACATGAGAGTTGAACGGTATAGAAAATCAAATGCAAAGGCAATTGCATGATAATCAGCAATTTGCCTGTGCGTTTTCGATGTTTTTGAAATTTCTACTATGCCTTATGTGTTTGGATTGACTTTTTCGGACAAATCAACACAAGGCTTCAAAATTGTAAACTACTTATGTTTATTTTGAACTCTTCTTATCACTTACCGTTTTTGTTAATTTGAAGACCTCCCACTATTTACTAGCTGTCAAAATTTGCATGATTACCAAAAACGCGTGGTCTTGAGTCAGTCTAATTTTACGAGATCAACGAATACACCCACAGTAATAAAAATTTTTCAACTTAAGGTCGTTGTTTCAACACAAACCCATAAACGATTAGTCCATTTTGTTATAACTTTTTTTGTCATTACGCTCGGCACAAAAAGCGACAAGGTTAAAAAGATTGGATTCACTCACCATACAGGAAACATTTCCCACTTTTTACCGTTCATTTTGCCTTTTTTTGGTTTTTGTGCAGTGTATCGAGAAAAACGCAAGCACGTTTCAACATCGTTGCGGCTGCGCCGGGAGTCCAGTGCAAACTCTGTTTTGTGGTTTTTAAAACTGGGCGAAAAGAGGGAATTCCACTGCGCGTTGGCGACAACCGCGGGAAAAAGTTCAAAATGCATTTTGCGAAAACTTTTTCAGGCGGTAAAAAGAGCAATGGAAGTCTTAAGCTGGAGCTATTTGCCGTATGTAGTCTTCTGGTTTTATGCGATAAAAGTGTTGAGACATGTGCTGTGGCATTCGTATGTGTATTTCTGGGCACCGGAGAAGGATTTGAAAAAATTGGCAAAAACTGATTGGGCAGGTAAGAGGGAAACTATAATTTCCAAAAAAAAGGTTATTGTTTCTTCACCCACTTGATTGTTTCAAACAGAATTAATGGTGCTGCAACATACCCATCAAATTTCTGAGCGTACATCACTTTATAATAAAGGAAATTTTTCACAAAAAAATACCGTATTTTCAGCGGTCACAGGAGCAACTGGTGGGATTGGCAAAGGTTATGCTTTTGAGCTGGCAAAGAAAGGATTTAATCTAATACTAATTGCCCGAAATCCTCAGAAATTGGAGGTTGTTAAGCAAGAATTGAAAGAACAATATCCGGAGGCTCAAATCGAAGTGCTAGTTTTTGATTTCTCGACCACTTCCACTGAAGAATATGAGAGGATTTTGGGGAAACCGTTGGAAAAAGTCGGGCTGCTAAGTAAGCTTTTTAGTGAAGCCGGTTGATGAAATCGATCGGGTCTTTGATTTTGATAATTTTCGTCAAATTGTAGTCACATTTTGAATACTTCCACTATTTAAAATATCAACTTTTTACATTGCTTTATTCTAATTGTTTAGTTAATAACGTCGGCCGTTCCTATGAGATCCCAGACAAGCTGCATCTGATTGCCGGCGGTCTCCCAGAGCTCAAGAATATCATCACAATAAACCTCTACAGTTGCTTCTTCCTATGCAAGATGGTATTGAAACATATGGAAAAGCGAGGAGGCGGAGTCGTTGTAAATGTTGGGTCATCCTCGGAATCGCTCAATTTTGCGTACTATTCGGCGTATTGTGGGGTTAAAGTACGTTGGTTATTATGAAAACCAAGAGTTGGATTTTTTTTATAACTTACCAGGGAAGTACCCCAAATGCGACGCTCAGATTTTGATGAAACTTGGCACAAATTTAGAATATTTTTTTCTGAAATATATGCGACAATCCCAGCTCGCGCTTTGCAGAAACAACCGGGATTTTTAGATCGAAAATCGGCGAAAATTTTACACTTTTTGCCGAATTTCGGCACCAAAAGTTTCATGCCTACTTCTACCATAGAGAGTAATCTTTCCACAAAAAATCAATTTTTTCCGCACGAAACTATTAAAGTTATGGCCAAAAAGTGTTTTTCTCTCTGTCCGCTCTCCGCTTTTAGCGTACTCTCTCGACGGCAAAGATCGTTCAATATCTTGGCGGCGCCCGCAAAGCGCGAGCTAAAACTTTCAGGAATTGATATTTAGTTCATGGCCGACGTGTGTGCAAAGTTTAAGGAAAATTTGAGCGTCGCACTTGGGGTACTTCCCTTGTTAGCAAAAACCTCGTTCTGTTATAATTTTCTAATTTTCAGCGCAGCTTCGGCCGTTTTTCCGACTGTATTCGAATCGAATATCCAAATTTAACGATTCAACATACGATGCCCGCATGGGTCGCGACCAACATGAGCAAGACAAAAGACCTCACAATCACCGTACGCTCACCCGCCGAATATGCCGCTTCGGCTGTGAAAACGATTGGCTACTGTAACCAAACTAGAGGATTTTGGAGTCATCAATTGCAATTTGACTTCTTACAATCATTACCACTTTTCATTACGAACCCACTGTTCGAATTCATTTTGAGGATGAAAAAGTATGAGAATTTGGAATTCATCAAAGCGGAGAGTGAGGACAACAACAACGAGACCAAAAAGATTGCCTAATCTTTGCGTTACTCCATTTTTGCATAATATTTTAATAAAAAGTATAATAAAAAGTCACTTTTTTCTTCGACAATTGAACGATCTCCTCTTGCCATACTTGTCTCAACGAGCAGAAGCCTCTGTGAATTCATCTACCCCAATTACGCCCCTTTTTTCAACCCTGGAAACTCACAAATAAGGAAAGACACTTTTTTGCACTGTGCAGTCAGACCGATTTCCCGCGCACAGTGCAAAACCTAAAATTTCACCGCACCGTGCACAGCCTCAGCGACAAAACAGATTAGGGGAATTTTTTTCATTTTCACGACAAAGATCGTCACAGTGCAAAAAGCGCGCAACTGCTTGCACAGTGCGAACCCCAATCCCAGCACTTTCCTTTTGGTTCCGCTGTGCGAAATGAGCGACAAACGGCGAAGGTGCGGTGCGAAAGGCGCGACAGTTTTGCACAGTTGTGACTTTGAAAAATTTTGGGGATTTTTCCGAACTCGTGAAAAAGGAAGGCCGGAAATTTGTCAATTGTGCGATCAAGACAGCCTTTTGCACAGTGCACAAACTGAAAGGCTTGGTAGGCCGACTCCAGAAAATCCCTCATTATGACATACTCCAAATGGCATAGTTGAATGAAAAATGAGGTCGATCCGTCTCGACTCGACTTATCCAACTTCTTTTATCATTTCTCTCCTCAACATCGTTTATTTTTTCGTCGTGCTGGCATTCGCGATGACGGATTTTCTGGAAATTCGAAGCCTTCGAAAATCTTCTGCAGATTTTTGTGATTCTTTGGAGAAGGTGGGTATTTTCGACTGAACTTGCTTTGATTTGAGGTTTATAACATGGACTAGCTGTTACGGTAACCTTTCTGGTAAATTTGACGGGATTTTTGAAGTTCCTTTTTGATCTTCATGAATACAGTAATTTTGGTGTCCCTTTCAAATGCTAGTGAAGATTTTTTGCAGCGAAGGGTATTATGGAGACTTATTTAGCTGATGTTATTGAAATTGGGCATTTTGAAGAAGGTTTTTTTCTATATACATCTACAAATTATGTTACACTAGGCATTTTATTTATTTTTATCGAAAGAGCCTCTATTATTGCCCGATCTGGCTTTATTTTCCATTATTGAGCTCAATGATCTAAGGCAGAGCCTATTTTGTCTGGGTTTGAATCAATTTACGCTTGATTTGCATTTTACTTCGCCGTTTTCTTACACTTGATCTTTAAGGGGACATGGCGGCGCAAACAACGCGACCAAGGCCCAGAAATTACCTCTACGTGGAGGAAGAGGACGAATTCTCAAAGAGAATTGAGATTAGAAAGGAGGATGTGCACAGGATTTTGCGTAGCATCGAAGGCCGGACACATCCGCGTGAACCTGTTCGGATTGCTCAAAAGGTGAGATTTTTTTGTTGTTTTCTGTTTTTAGATGAGAAGTTTTGAATTATCAGTTAGCAGAGGATGTGCTTTAGACGAATATCGCCGAAAATGCCGAAATTTATCCTGTTTTTATGAGGAAACAGCTAAAGTTAGGTTGGGTTTACCTAAAAAATGTTTAAAATTTGGGTTTCCCCGAATTTTGATAGTCTTTGCGTTTTATTCGTGTTATTGTTGATGTTTTCAGTTGTCCGGCCGGATTTATCGGTTTGCTGTGAACCATTTTAGTCGGTTGCTGAGTGGAAAGAAGCCAGCGACTCCTCCAGAGCCAACTCAACGATTGAAAAAGCCGCCAAAGTTTTCGAAGCTCGATCGTTACGTCAGCATTCATAATGCCACCTTCTACGATGTTGCGTTTGTCAACGGCGAGGAGTTTCCTTCAAGAGTTCGCGAATTGCTCAGTCAACCTCCTCCACCGCTTCCAAGGCAAATAAGACATGGCTGGGGGTTGTCGTTTTCTTCCTGGAATATGTTTCATGATGTAAGTTGCACGGTTTTTTTTGGGGATTTGGTCGGAGACTTGATTATATTGCGCGTGACGTCATTTTTTGTATTTATTATCCGTACAGAGTTGTGTTACGGAGTTGGACGATTGCGGAAACCGAAAATTATTATTTTTCTTCGATGCAAGTGTGAAATTAGGATAATCGAGGGTGGTGATTTCGAAAATGACATTAATTTTTTTTATCTTTACCTTTTTCCTTAAGTAGTACTGTAAAGTAGTATTTTTTTCATAAATACTCGATTTAGGGGTTTTCGATGGTGCTGATTTCGTAAATCTTATTCATTTTTTCTGATTTGAAAGCAGCACCACCGTAAAACCCCCAAATCGAGTATTCGTGAAAAAAAATTCAAAAAATTACTACTTTACAGTACTATTTAAAGAAAACAGTAAAGATCAAAAAAATGAATGTCATTTTCGAAATCCCCACCCTCGATTATCCTAATTTCACATTTGCGTCGAAGAAAAATAATACTTTTCGGTTTCCCCAATCGTCCCAGTTCCGTTGTATTATCTATGGCAAGATTTATTTTTTCAGTCAGAAGAAATGGATGAATTGACGATTGGTCGACTTCCTGTTGCGCAATCGACTGATTTAGCTCGAGGCAACCTCGGATACATCAACGGACTTCGAATTTGGGAGGTAAAATGGCCTGTGAATCAACGAGGAACTCATGCTGTGATCGGAGTCTGCACATCTGCTCAGGATAGACAATCTCCAGGTTATGTAGAACTCCTTGGACATGGTGCGGAGGGCTGGGGATGGGATATTGGTAAGTGTTTAGATGTTTTTTTTTGTTTTGATTTAGTGCTTGGATGTTTTTGAGGATGATATCGATGTTACGATTCTAGTGAACAACAGATGCATCCACAATCAAAAAGAATACCCGCCATGGTCCTATCCGAGAGCAGAGATTAGAAAAAATGGATTCAAAGTGCCGGAAACCTTCTATATGATCCTTGATCTGGACGATAAAACCCTGGCGTTCTGTACGGATGACACATATTTCGGAATAGCTTATTGCCATCTCAAGGGCCATCCTAGAGTGTTGCATCCGGCAGCATCAGCCGTATGGGGAATGTGCAAGATCACGTTGAAGTACCGAGGATGTCTTCGTAAGTCCAGAATAATGTTATTTTTGCTTGAAGTTTAGAAATCATAAGAGAAAATGACTTACAGACAAACCTCATGACCTCCAGAACCTCTGTCGTCGCAAACTACGCCGTCAACTGGGCCCTTACACCTTCAATGAACGCCTCCCTTATCTTCTACTACCTCCAAGAATAAACGCCTACCTCAACTATAAATATATCCCGAACTACGCCTTCCTCAACATCGACAATCCCAGATTGCGCGCAAAGGCCATGAAAGCCGCTAAAATCATGGGAATCGAACCGAAAAAGGAACAACCTCCTCGAGAAACAGAGATTGCCAAAGTTATTCAATAGAACACCTCCTAATAACGCATTTTTTTCATTTTTTAGCGATTTCTAACTTTTTTATCTGTGATTTCATGTGAATAAATGTTAAATAGTTTGAAAAAATTAGATTTTTATGGAAGGGTTATATTAACCATGAATGAAAATGGTAATTTCCATTGATTTGGCCCAATTGCAAGCCCCCAGTAAGTAAAAAACAGTAAAAATTTTTATTTTTCCTTCCAAAAAACCTTTCCAGCAAAGATCTCTCTTCCAAAAAGTCCCTCCTCTCGTTTCCCGACCCTCGCGGAACAAGTGTCTCAATAGTCGAGTGGTCTAAAACGCTGCCACACGGGTTCGATTCCATCCTTCTGCAAGGCGGTCAGTACTCAAAGAGCAAATCTCGTAAAATGGGTTTTGTTGCCAAAAACTGGCCGAGATCGAATACTTGCTCTAATTGCCTGCCTGTAAATGTCAGAAACTCGGAGGTATGACAGCTTGTTACATTCCATTTTGGAATTTTTCTTGGAGTTTTCGATGTTAGTGGGCTTGAACTACAATTTTTGGACTAAAAATGAACCATTAGCAAAAAATCAAAGTCTTGAACGGCGTTTATTTCTGGCACTGGATAATAATTTTCAACAATTGGCAGGAACATATTGATCAGTTATTAGCGAGGATACGGTAAAACTATAATGCCGGACAACGCGAAACATTGAGCATCTCCTTTGATGGGCAAATCCGATAGGCTGGAAATCCTGAATGCTCTTCTCTAATCTTTTTGTGGCAGCGGCTTCCGCTAAAAAATCGAAGTTTTGATATTAATAAATGTAATAGATATTAATTAAAACTCCCTACTCTGCAGGCATATAAGCTTTGCACGTTGGGCATTGGATCATAATCTCATTTACCATAAAGATTTTTCTTGAGACATTGGGGACTTTGAACACCTGAAAAATTGGTTCAAGTATATTTTTAGCGGGTTAAAATTGACTTACCGCCAACGTTTCATTTAGTAATGTGATTGAGGTGACTGTTCTGCCAGCGGTGAATCCGCACTCTAATGCCGGTACCTCGGCAGCATCTATGCACTTGATTCCACTGTAGCAAGGAATCTGGAGCCAACAGCATTATATACTTGTCAGCATATCGGGAAAATAATAAGCACAATGTCGCTGCGTCGATCGTGTCGCTGAGGAAAGCAAAAATATTATTTCGCCGCGACAAAATTCATTTTCTCGACGGAGATCTCGATTTTTGATGCGACAAAGTGCTTATTATTTTCCCGACAGATTGATAAATACCCATAGTAACCCACAAGATCAACCATTGGAGGGCACATTTCTTTGATATAGGCGAATTGTGGCAGATCGCCGGTATCCAAAAGACGTCGTTCCCGATGCATTACTGCCCTTTCGTCGCAGAAATCCGCGCAGTTCTCCTACGGTTCCCAATCCGGATTTATACACTGCGAACTTACAGTATTGGCCTGGGTAAAGCCGCCATACGGGCAGTAGAGGCTGATGTTCTGCTTGAGACCTATGCGATATGATAAAAGAAGATCTTCTTCTTCCATATGAGCCACTTCCGTCTGAAACAATAATTGAAATAAAGATAAATGTAAAATTACAAAAAAAGAAAAAATTATCTCACACTATAAACTAGGTAGTACTCGATCGCTGCATACGCTGTGATCGCCGTAATAGTCAGCAAAAGGATCTGAAAAAAATATTTTTTAACCAGGGCTCAATAAGCGTGATGGCTAGAGGCTCAAAATATATAAAAATGATGACTAAAATATGTAAACACAATTGTAGAAAAATGATGACTAAAATAAGCAAAATTGCAGAAGAAAGGAAACAATCAAACTTACATCAATCACTAAAAAGTATTTGCAAGTCTTTCGTCGCAACAAACAACGGCTCAACGTTCTCAACTTGTTCTGTATTTTCGTTTGTTTGCCACCGGTCGCCACGTTCATTATGTCGAAAATGCGGGAAACTTGGAAAATGAAAAACATTTTCTTATGCTAACAAGTGAAATTCTTGGCAAGGAGGATAGCTATGCAAATTTTGCAACCTCCAGTGGTGGTGGCTCACCAGGAACTTCCAATCTCGTTTCAAGTGTGTATTTCTCCGCCGATAATGCACCAATTTTTATGAAATTTTTATCAATTTGAAGCTGAGACATACCATTTGTTGAATCTGTTATAATCCCTTTTAGTATTGTCTCGAAAAATTCTTCTTCACGCACAATCTGCTCCTCTTGTCATCAGGCCAAGGCAGCCCCAAGATTAGGCCTACAGTAAGAGTAGTGTACACACATTAGAAATTTTTTTAAAAGATAAAAAAGAAGCCGAGGAATGCTTGAAAATTTAGGAATATTTTTAATATGCTTATATGTGGAATTCCCCGCTGTTTTCACGGTTATTTATTCTTTTCAACTTGTGCAAGGGGTAAAGTTCGGAAAGAGCCCTCAAAAGGGCGTGTAGCCCGAGGATCTTCCGTTTTTTCTCGAATTTTGAGAGTTTACACTCTTTGCTTTAACAAAAAAAAACTTATTTACTATGTCCTTGCTTCAAACATCTGTCTGAAGAAAGCTACATATCAGTTTGTGGGGAAAATAATGAGCGGTCTGTCGCATCGAAAATCTCTGTCGAGAAAATGAATTGTATCGCGGCAAATTCAAATCGCTTTTTCACTTCTGCGACGCGAATGGCGTACATTGCGCTCTCAATTTCCCCGACAAACTGATATAAATAGCCCTATTATTTATCCGTTATCTCCCCTCCCTCTGCAGCACATTTGTTTCCCTCGTGTTTCGCGGGTCTTTTCGTGGTTACTTGGGCTTTTTTGTTATCACGGAAAGCGGGGCATTCGCATGTATAATTTTTTTTCCATGAGAAGAGGGAATGTGTGGTTCCCGCTGAGCTTTGTTTTTAAGTTCTGGATTATATACACTCGACAAGAATTGCACTTTTGCATATAGACTAGTTGTTGTTGGAGTTTGTTTTTGACGATCTTTGCAAGGCACTAAAATGAGTTAAGAGCGGGGTGTTTTTGGCCAACAACTTTTAGCTCTAAATGCCATATTTTTTCACTTTTTTTCTCTCTTCCAATGGCCAAGTCTTCTCTGCTATCCAAAAAATGTCACGTCCAATAAAACTGACCTCAACAGCCAAGCGAAACTTCTGCGAACGCATTTTTTCGCCCCTAACAAGCCAATGGATTACATATACATATCCTCTTTTCACCTGAACGCGTCCAAAATTTATTAGTCCGCTCTTTCGCTCTTGCCAAGAACCTTCCTTTTCCAAGTTACTTTAAACTTTGTCACGTTTTGTTCATTTATTATACTGGGAGTTCGCTTCCCGCTTGTTGACTCGTTTGTTATTTGTTTGATCGCCCTTTCGATTATTTTCTCCCCGAGGGAAACTAACTGATACATTGAGTGTTTTTTTAGATCGATTTGCCATTCATTATTTTTCCGATTTTTAATGTTTTAAAGTAAAAAAAGTAAAATTTCAGATGTCATTTCCAACAGAAGCCGAATATCTTCAGCAGGCTTCTGGTGCGCTAGAGATAGTTGAGAAGTATGCCCGGGACAAACTTTCGAGATTCCCCCATCATGACTTTAGCTCGCCATCGCATACGGAAGAGGTCAAGATCTTCTCCGGACCGCCGACGGACTTCGAAGGCGCCAAGGAGAACATGCTCAAAATGAATACAATTTTAAAAGTAAGCAAAATTAATACTATTAAGTTTGAACAAGTAGGACGCAAAGATTTTTTTGAAAATTTCTTTAATTTTATTCACATTTTCTCGAAATTTTTTAGACATGTCATGCATAAGTCATATGTATATCGGGCCTGAAAATTTTAACTTGCGCTTTACGGCGACAGTCGAGATATTTAACGATCTTTTTTCGAGAAAGTACGCGAAGCGCGGAGAGCGGTCACAGAGAAAAACACTACTTGGTCATAACTTTGCTAGTTTCCTGCGGAAAAAATTAATTTTTTGTGGAAACATTACCCTCTATAGTAGAAATAGATATGAAACTTTTTATACCAAAATTAAAAAACAATTTCAGGTTACTGTAGATAAATTATTCGACAAAATGGTCCCATTCAAAGGCCTGCGAAAACAATGGGACGACCAGATCGAGCAGCAAAAAGTCTTACAGCAGATTGGCGATGATGTATTTATAGTTCATACGGTCTTCAAACATCGTGGCTTTCTTCCAGCCCGAGATTCTGTAATTATTTATAAAGTAAGTTTACTTTTTTTGGCATTTTGTAGTATTTAGAGACCATCAAAGTTGCGGTGAAAAATCGGATTTTTTTTGCTGATTTCTACTCACAAGGGAAGTGTCCCAAGTGTGACGCTCAGATCTTCTTTAAATTTTGCACACACGTCAGGAATAGATTAAATATCAATTCGTGAAAGTTTTAGCTCGCGCTTTGCAAGCGCCGCCGAGATATTGAACGATTTTTTCCGCCGCGAGAGCACACTAAACGTAGAGAGCGGTCAAAGAGAAAAACACTTTTTGGCCATAACTTTGCCAATTTCTTGCAAAGAATCTATTTTTTGTGGAAACATTACCCTTTACGGTAGAAATAGGCATGAAACTTTTCGTGCCGAGATTTGGCAGAAAGTCTCAAATTTTCGCCGACTTTTGATCTAAAAATCTCGGTTGTTTCTGCAAGCGGGATCTAGAATTTACGCATTTATTCTAAAAAAAAATTGTTCTAAATTTGTGCCAAGTGTCATCAAAATCTGAGCGTCGCACTTGGGGCACTTCCCTTGCCAGTGAACTGTGTTTTTTGCAGGTGAAACGCTCGGAAACAGAGGCGTTGGTTGCGGGCACCAGCACCACTCATCCGGACGCCCCACCATCCCCTCAGGTCATCCGAGCCAACGTCCACTTCGTCGGGTATCGCCTCAAAAATGCGGGTGCCAACTACACCAAGCTGCGGATCTACTGGTGTGCCGACCTGAACCTGCCCTCCCACGCGCCCGCCGACTTCAAGCACAGCCTGCTGAATGAATTCGTCCGCAAACTGATCGCAGCGGGAATCCCGTCCATCAACCCGAATCCAGTCAATTATCATCCGTGAAGCGGGGCGCTACAACCCGACTTCAAAGCGTTGTGGAGGGTTTTATGGGAGCGCGGAAGGGTCAATACTGTTATTGTCGAGGTTTAAATTTCCAAAAAATTGGGTCTTTGCTTGTAAAATTTACAAGTTGCATAGTGTTTGTATACGAGTTTGGCGAATAAAGTGATAAAAGGTTGGTCAGATTTTCCTTTCTTTCTTCCCTCACAAAACCTCTGAGCGCCCCATGCAGCTCAGGGCTTTTCGATCCATAAACGAAATCCTATTCCTATTCGAAAAACAAGGCGAAATAAATAAAAGCCGCTCGCCCTAATCTCACGCAGCGCAGATCGGTGCTTTTTTGAATGGCGGCGACAAAAACTTTGTAGGCTATAAGGAAGTCTGGACGATTACAGGTGGTCATGAATATCGGGTCTTGGATTTAAAGCCGGTGGGGAGTCGATTTCGCGCCGTTAAAGATTGGCTTTCAGTTTTTGGGAAATCTGCAAATTTTAAAATCTTAAAATGCCTTATAGCCTTAGGGGTGACCATGAAAACATTGAAAAAATTATTTTTTTTGGAAAATTATTTGCTTCCACACTTTTTAATTCAATAAAATGCGCCATCTCCAATTTTCAAAACAAGACATTTGGTCCCACCACGAAAACTTGAATTTTGCTGAAACCTCAAAACAACCTAATTAAACTCCCCCGCAAGTTCAAATAGCCACAATTCGAATTCGAAACTACGACCCTGAGGGCTTAAGTCCCTTCGTTTCCGTGTTCTTCTTCGGAGCCGGTCACTCTTCGTCGTTACGAGTAAAAAACGCGGCTAATGTTGCGTTGCAGCTCCCTCGGAATTGATCTGCTTGTTTACTTTCCGGAAGTTTTTAGTCACAAAAAAGATATTTTTGTTTTGAGAGCGATCGTAGTCGTGTTCTACTAGCCAAAAGATTGGTTGTTTGTGGGGGGTTGTGAGAGCCGGTTTTTTGCTTTTCACGTTCTTCGAGTATCTTTAAGATCATAAGCGTTGAAAAAGTACCGCTGTAGCGCCAATGATCATATCATGCGTTCGTGTAGAACACCTGAAACAAGCCCTTTACCCAACGGAAATAAGAAATCATTTCCGCCGCTCGATAACCCTCCCAATTTCCCTCGTTTTTCCTATTAACGTGACGAACATTAAGCCCGCATTTTATTCATGAATACGAGTTTTTCTGATTGATATTCAGCATTAGTCGTATTTTCACGCCTGCGGGTTGTCATTAATCATTGTTTTTGGGGCTGATTTTCCACTTTTTCCTGGTTCTTTGATCCTTCATGCGGCGTGCTTTGAAGTTGTGGGCGGATAAGGGAGTTTAGGATGGCTACTGAATAGGGAATTGCTCGGGGTGTGATGTTCGAATTGCTTTTTAAATTTACAGTGTTTCTTTAAGCGCTTTAACGATTCATAAAACTTTTTGGTTACGGCTGGCGTATAAAGCCGAAATTTTTAACTGAATTTTCTTGAGATATCCGCCAAGAAATTTTGGTTATGACTTTCTGAGTTGCCTTTACTTTTGCGGGCAACCATTTTGCGGATACCCACTTGGAAGCTACTGTGTAGGCAGGCGAGAAAACAAAGCCTTCAAGCCTGAACAAGCCTGAGAATAAGAAAGGTTAAGCCTAAGCAAGACTAAGCCGGGGCTAAGGTAGTACAAACCCCCCAGTCTAGTTCAGACCCCCATGACCCAGTACAAACCCCCTCATTGTTTCCTGGGGGGCTGAACTCGGAAAGCCCCACTAAGCCGAAGCAAAAAGCTAGGCCTAAGCAAGACTAAGCCTAAGCAAGGCTAAGCCTAAAAAAGCCCGAGAATAAGAAAGGATGATCCTAGGCAGGGCTAAGCCTAAGCCTAAGCAAGGCTAAGCCTAAGCAAGACTAAACTTATGTAATACCGTGATAGCCTAAAAAAGTCCAAGCATCCTCGGCTTTATTAGCCTGACTGTTCATCTGTAGCGACCCCCGAATTGAAAACTTTGAATACCGAGCTAGCCTATACGCCTTAATGGGATGAAAATTAAATCGGAAATTTTGAATATCCTCATTTCTCGCCTTTAAGCCGGAACGCCTTCGCCTTCCTCACCTTTCCCTGCAAACTTCTTCTATCTGTTTACATAATCGGCAAATAAACGGGGGATGGATGTTCAACTCTTCCTTCCTGTAACCCTTTTCCCGTTATGGGTCACTCGAGGGTTCTCTTCAAATTTCTGGGAATTTTTGACCTTTCAAATTTTTTGAAGCTTACGAAAAGGTAGCGGGGAATTTTACAGTGGTTATAAAATACTTGACGTTTTTTCAAAAATAGTTAGCTTGCTAATTTTTTCATGATTTCCCTGGTAATTGCTCTGATTCTCTTCTGCAATTACAATATTGTACATTGCCAGTCGGCAATGCGCTTCCCCATAAAATCAAGCAGAAGAAATTCAAGTTTATTGGGCATCCGAAAGAGCATCTTCACAATGGATGCAGCAACATCACATTTATTGCGTGTTTTATTATTTTTTGCACCTTTTGCGAAAGCGATTACGTAAGAGCAGGAATCAGTTTTCATCCTTTTTTCTTGAAGGTTTGTTTTGAGTGTTACATAAAAACGAATGGATGTTTGAAGAAAAAAACGTAGGTGGAAATTTTTTATATCTTTGTGATTTTACTGGTCCATTCGCCTTAACTTTATATCCGAAAAATTATAAAAAAAATTCTTTTTTTGCAATTTCTGATCAAAAAGTCCTGACGGTTTTTGAACCCCTAAAACCGAGCAACTCACATGTTTTTAAAAGGATTACTGACCAAAGGACTTTTGTTTTCAAACTTGGCCTCAAGATGGGAAAAACACCCTAAGGACTTTTGTTTTTAAACTTGGCCCCAAGATGAGCAAAAGAAGTCAAAACATTGAATCACCCCCTATATCTGCCCTCCTCGAGGCCGCACTCCATAAATCTTGCAGGTCCTTTTGCCCCGATTCTCTGTCCTTTCTCAAAGTCCACGTGCACTTGCCGACTGGCACTGTCACACAGTCTAAAGGCTTTGTGCTGCACTTTACCGTCAGCTGGTAAGGTCAGTGTTTGGATATATAAAAAAAGAGAGTATCTGGAATAAAAGATTTTTGGTTTCTAACATTTTTCTGGGATAATCCTTGAGGTCCGTTTTTCCAAAATTATTTTAAATGTATTTTTGCGATTATTCAAAAAATTTGGAGTCGAATATCATGTTATGGCGTGGTCAAGGGCCCTTCATAAAGCTATTAATATATTGGTTATTCGATCTGCCCATTTACAGCATGATCGTATTTCCGCCATATGCGGGGCCGTAAAATCTTTTGACCGGTCATTTTAAAGCTTTTTTTTGGCGCTGCAAAAAATGGAAGAGCCTTTGTAAAACAATTTGCGGCGGTCTTACAATAACAAACAGTTCAAAAATATCCTGTAGCTCCTGATTCTAGCTGATCTAAGCTTCGATTTTCATCCAAAATTGTCATCACTTCATTGAGGTCGTAAAAATTACAATAACCCCATGTTTGGTCACTTCATCTAATTAAAAAAATTCTCTATTGTAAGTTCATTCCAATTGAACTTTCCCTGCACTTTGCGCGTGATCTCAGGTTTCCCTCGGAGCCTTCCGCTGCACAATATTTGACCGGGACCTTTGGCGGCGGAGAGAGAAAGGGAGGGTCGAGCCGAGACGAGCCGATAGAGGGTAATTTCCGAATGACCGTCCAAACTATTGGTTTTTGATAGGGGTTTGATGGGTTTACAAATAGAGACGAATGGAGAATATTTTCGAATACGGGCGGTAGAATATTCGAAAATACGAATACGATGTTTTTACGGTCTTTCAAAATATGTTTTAGGTCGTCCAGAAAGTTCGTTCGTTTTTTCATTGCTTCGTTTTACGAGGATTGTTTGTTGTTTGACAAAGGGTATATACCTATTTGATACAGCCAGTTTTGTAGAGGAGAAAAAGCTGTATCAAATAAATATATCAATTGCCAAAGAACAAACCATCCTTCTAAAACAAAGCAATGAAAAAACGAACGAACTTTGTGGACGACCTAATAAATATGCAGTAAAATTTATTGCATCCAAGATTTTTTGACCATGCAGGGAAGCTTCAAAGTTCTAAGGTCAAAACAGGTTCCTTTTCCTTCCCTTTATGACCAATCGAGCTCGTTACCAAAAGACTCGATGATCCGTAAAGGGCGTTGGAATGAGCTCGAAATACGCAAAATTAGGTGAATTTTTCGTATTTTCGCGCTTTGGCTCACATTGCTTCCATTTTTTGCAATTCCGATTGTCTTTGAGATTCTAGCGATAAACTGTGCTCAATTCTGTGCCTAATCAGCCGAGATATTTATAGTCATCACAAAATTTTACACCTAATTCATCCAGTTTTTCATCAAAATCTGAGCAAATTTTTAAAATCGTTGGTCAATTTTTTCAAAGTTTACAAAGTATTTTTTTATATCCCAATCGAAAGGCCACTCAAGATTGGTAATTCAACCCCCACAAGACAGATCAAAGGCGCGTATTGTTATAAGAAATCATCCCGCGGGAAGATGGGTCGGGTCGTGCCAGACGGTTTTTTCGTCGTGACGTTTTACCGTGAGAAAAAAGTGAAACAAAAAAGAGGTTTGAACGGGAAAAAATGACTGTGTTTTTACAAAAAGGCCTTGGAAATTATCGCGAGAAAATTGATTAACTCTGATTTTCGGGTAGGGAATTTGATTTTTCTCATCTTTTTTACGTTTCCAATACAGTAAAATTTCACAAGTTCACAGCCATGTATAGCAATTTTTATAAATTTTGTTGTCTCCTGAGCTTGTAAACACTTTACTTTTTCCCCGTTTCTTACCCGCTGACTCCGCTTCACTGATAAACATGGGCTCGGAAATTGAAGATGGCCCGTGATGATAACGGCTGAAGCGCCGTTTGAAAAGGGTAATTTCGGTTCCAGCGCACTGTTTAGAGTATTTTATGACTCGTTTTTGG